GGTGGAGGGGGTGAAGGGAGGGCAGGGGAAGGGGAAAAAAATAAGAACCAAGATACATCTGTACAGGTACAAGATCCCAATGATGAATGTAACTGTATTTTATACCTAAAATGTACCAATAAACTTAATGGAAAAAAATGACTTTGAAGAATGATGGCTTATAAACACACACACACATACACATTCACACATGCACAGACACTCTCACACAATACACAATATGCCCATCCTCGATCCATATTGAAATTGACCACAATACATTTTTTTAAAATCTATGCTGAAATTAGAAGTACCAATTTTATCCAACAAACTTGAAGTATTTTGAGACTATGGTATTATTTTAGCAGGATGAAAGAGACACTGGCAGTCAACATTGCTATTCTACAGTTCCTCATAGATCAAACTTCTGGAAACAAAATGAGGAAAAACACCATAGATCCCCATAACTCTCTACAGCTCAGAGGCAAATGCCTTTGGCCCAGGTAGGCAGTAGTAAGGAAAAGGCTTCTTGGGGCCACTTGTCCTCTCTTGGGACAGGCTGGAGGGACACCTTGACTCCATGGTGCCTTCCCCACCTCTCATGTAGTGGCTTAAAGGTCAAGGTGAGGAAGCTGCTAAGTCCTGCAGCAGGAACTGGAGCTATCTTTGCAGAGGAAAATGTGGGGCTGGCTGACTCAGGAAATAAAAGAGGCTTTGGATCCCAAGAGAATTACCACAAAGAGAGAAGAGCCTCCACTCCCAGGGATTCCCCAACACCTGAGACCACCCCGCCCACACTGAAGGAACATCTGCCCCAGCCCACACCTTCAGAGGCAGAATATTCTTGCAGCCCACCCTGCACTCTGTCCTCAGGCAGACTGGACCAAGATCATAGGTGATCGCTCTCCAGCCTCCAGGGGAAGAGAGAACACCAGGCTGATGTAAAAAGGGGCAAGCGACAATAGGTTTCTACTAGATTGTGTGCAGCCAAAGACAGATCTACAACTGGCCCTGAGTTAAAAACAAGCAAGCTTAAAAAATGAAAATCACACAGAATTACTACTACAAAAAATGTACAGAATAAACATGGATAATACATTTGTTTAGATAATTACTAGCAGAAAGACAGATGAGAGCTATTTCACACAAGGACATTTCAGAAAACATGGAACATTATAAAGTGAAAGCTCCTAAGAGGAAAGACTAAAATGAAAAGGAGCAGACAGAAACAAAGAAAAGGAAAAGTAATTGAAAACTGAAAATGCAAATTGATGGATATGCAGCTGTGCCCGGCTTCTTGGGAGGCTGAGGACAAGGGTGGGCTCTGATGTCACCTGCCTGAGGCACCAGGGTGGGATGTGCTGGGCCAGTGCCGAAGAAGAAAAGGAAACGTGGAATGGAGCCAGTGATGGGACTTGGCACTCTGCGCAGGGGTGGACCCCAGGTGCGCAGCGCTGGGGGCCTGGTAAACCCCTGTGGCTTTGGCAAGGAGCCTAGCAGTGAGGGTGCATGGGAAGTCACCTAGACTGCAAGGGGAATACTAGACAGGAACTCCATATTCTCAAGAGCTGCTGCAGCAGCCCAGGTGATAAGAATATCTGGAGCAGAAGCTGCACCTACACCCCCGTGCCCACTCACACAATACGGGCCCAGGCGCCACACTGGGCATCTCAAATGCGGCCGCCAGGGTGAAGGAGTGTGTGTGTTTGCAGTGTTCGCTAACGCAACATTATTCCAGGGGTCGTTGCTGACAGAGCTGTATCTCCCGTGTCACTTACAGACTTGTCTTTGGTTTAACATTTTTATCCAAAAAGGAGAAAACCCAACAAAGAAAAGAAAAAGAAAATTTGGGGGAGAGGCCACAAATAGCAATAAGATGCTAAATTTGAACCCAAATGTATCAGTAATAAATTAATGAAATGGATTTAAAAACAAAATGATATGATACACTTGGTCTTTATGAAGATATAGAAAAATTAGAAGTGTGTTGATGGGTAAAACATACCACTCAGACTCATTTTATTTGTAATCCTACCTAACCAGTGTGAATGGAAAATAAAATACATGTAAGGGTAGGAAATGAAAAATAAAGCTGTCTGAGGTAGGAGGATCACAAGTTCAAACTCACCCTGAGAAACTTAGGGAGATGAGACCCTGTCTCCAACTAAAAAAATAAAAAAGCAAAAAGGGCTGGGGATATACCTCAGTACAAAGGCCCTGTGTTCAATCCCCAGGACCACAAAAATAAATAAATGAATAAATAAATGCTCATTTGTCACAGATGACTTGATTGTGACTACATAAAATCCAAAGGAAAATGTATGCATCAACCACTACCATGAATAGATGGATTTCGCAAGGTCATTAGAGATTAATATAAAATATGTATATACTAATATCAAATAAATATAAAAATCAAATGTAAAAATAATATCATTTACATAAGCTTCAATATCACAATATATCTGGAAATAAAGGTAAACAAATATGTGCAAAACCTTTACTCAAAAAGTTTAACTCTATATCTCATTGATTTAAATATGTAATGGTATAACATGTCTATAAATGAAAACACTTGATCTTGTAAAGATATCAAACTTCCCAGTTGTCCTGTACACTAAATGCCATCTCTATCGAAACCACAGTTTTGTTTGTAGAACTTGACAAAGTTATTCGGAAATTAGCAATGCAGTGGACCAAGAACAGCCAACAGGTTATTGAGTAACAGCAGCACTGAAGGACTTAGCCCATTCCATTATTTACTATAAATCTAGGCAAATTAAAAGACAGTGTATGAAACACAAAAGTTAGTAAGTATGTACAGTTTACCAGTGAAACCTGCAGAGTCTAGAACCAGCTTGGCCTAATGAGAGGAGACCCTCCACCAAGTGGCCATGAGGAAGGTACACTGGCTCAGGACATGGGGCCAGACCAGTTGCATATCCATGTGGAAGAAAATTAATGTTTTAATTTCATGACACAATAACTACACATATTTATGGGGCACAGTGTGATAATTCACTATATGTATATAGTGTGTAGTGATCAGGTCAGAGAAATGGCATTGCCACCTCATCATTTCTGTCTTTAGAACCTTGAGCTCTTCTAGTTCTTCATGAAATAGATTGTTGTAAACAGTCACCCTCCCATGCTATAGAACACTAGAACGCATTCCTCCTATCTACCTGTATTTTGTCATCCTTGTTCTCTTCCCCCTGACCTTTCCAGCCTCCAGCGGTCACTCTCTCCTTTGAGATCAACTCACTTAGCTTCTATCTGTGAGTGTGAGCATTTGGTGTATGCCTTTCTGAGCACTTAATGTGCTCCAGTTCCATCTGTTTCGCCACGAATGACTTGGTCCTTCACCTACACTGTATAAAAAATTGATACCCAATGGATTGTAAATATAAGTGTAATAGATAGAAGAAATAAAATTTATGGAAAATGTTTTTTCCAACTCAGGGTAGGAAATGTAAATTTAGGGAGTGAAATCATAAAAGTTCTGCAATAATAAACAGCCAATAATTTTTGAGTATTTACAGTGCCAGGCAAAGTTCTTGGAGCTTTACAGATGCTTGATCCTCACAAACCCTCAGGATAGCCACTTTACAGAGAGGAGCAAGTACAGAGGCAGGGAGTAACTCATCTTAAGATCACATAGCAAGCACATAGAAGAAATGTAATTAGGACACAGACAGGCTAACTTCAGAGTTCACACTATCTCCCTTTCAGTAGATCTGATTACGTTCATAATCTTGGAGTGGAAAAGCCCTTCAGTGTATCAACCAAGAGCCTAGAAACACAAGTGAAAATATTGGTATCTTTGTTACATAAGCTTTCAGTCTCAGTTTGGTCCAAAATAAAGTTGGAAGCATATAAAGAATTAAGAGAAAAGATTTTATAACACATAGAAGAGACAAAGGGCTAATGATATTACAGTTCAAAATGGTCCTGCATATCCTCCTAAAACTCATCCAAATAACAAAAATATAGGAACAGGTCATTCTTCAAAAAATAAACAGAAAAAGTTACAAATAGGCGGGGAATGGCCATACAGCAAAGTGGGTCTAAGGGCAAGTGTGGTGTGCTCTTACGGTCAGGCACATCTCTGAAACACCAGATTAAATGACACGAGGGCACTACAGTCCTACAGGAAGAGTACTGGACAGCCCTATTTTCCCCCACCCACTGCCTATTCCAGGGTGTTGGACACAGAAGGAGCCTGTGTTTTTGAGAAGAGTGGAGCTGGGTGAAGCCCCTCTGCTCATTCAGCTGTGCTTCAGTCAATGCTCCAAGTCCCCTGTGCTTCCAGAACTGTGGACCCAGACCCCTGGGGTGCTTCAGGAGGGGTCATCACAAAGCCCCACACATCTATCTACCTGATTCACCAGTTACATCCTTATTTCCTGAGCCCTTGGCTCTAATTCAGCACCTTCACTCTACAGGAGCCAGGGGCGAGGTGGCACGTCTCTCCCTGGCCTCTTCTGCCTGCTGACCTGGCACCCACCTGGCTCATCCTGGAACTGGCTCTTGAGTGCCATGAGCAGTGCAATTAGAAGTGAGAACATCTTGTCCCTGCAGTCCAGAATTGCCCAACTTCACCTCCAGCCTAAGCGGACACCATGACAGTGGCCACTGATCTGGTGGGCATCACAAGTGCATGGCACAGCAGGGCCCTGATGACATCACAGTGAGCCCTGGGGCCCACAAAGGGGGATGCAGAACCTGAGGAGCCAAGCACACAGACCATCCAGTGAGGAAGCAGAGCCGGAAGAGGCACAGTGATTGTCAGACAGGGAGGAAAATCAGGAGCAGGTGTCAGGGGGGAAATGAGCAGAGCGCTCCAAGGAGGACAGATGCCTCCTTTCTCCTCCTTGCATAGATTCTCTCTGGTGTCCATCATCACCCTCTCCTCATCCACGTCCTTCTCATTTATGGTGTCTTGGCCTCTCTTAAAACCTGCAAAAGAAATAGCTCTCAAATGCCTTCTTGCTTCTTTGACTTTCTCAAGGACCACCACCCTGTCTCTTCTCATTCACAAATTTAGTCCTCCTCACTCAGTGAGCAAATGCATGGTGACTGAATGAATGAAGTACCCACTGTCTGAAACAGTAGTTATCTACATTCCCAAAATCCGAGATTCCCCAGTTGTCTTCTAGGATCTCTCCCCTCTTTTTTCAGGCATCAGGTGTGGGCCCTGTCACCTTGTTCCCAAACCGTTCTCCTGATTCCCATTCCCTGACCTCTTTTACCATAGCACTAGTGACTATCTGCCATGGGCTACGTCCTCAGGATTTATTCATTTATTCACTTTCTGTCTCTCCTACTGGACTACGACTTTGATGGGGGCAAAGGCTTTTTATTTACTCTTCCATCCCAATTCCTAAAAGGGTGCCTGGTGCATATTAGGGATTTAACAAATAGTGGAATGAATGAATGGATGAATGAATGAATGAATGAATGCTTGAGAGGAGGGTTGGAGATTGACCTGTGAATGCCCGTGAGATGGTCCAGTCCTGGCCCCACCCCTGGTGGCTTATATTATCTTGAGTCACATAAAGTCCATGAGTTTTCTCTACTCTCATGGGTTTTTGAGGGCATTAATCAAAATCATGCTAGAATTAGAAATGATCAGATGTCTGAAGTATTATAGATGGCAAATGATGCAGAAACTCACAGGCAACTATGGGGTTGGGTCCAAGGCAGAGTAAAGATGACCAGGCCTTGGTCAGATAAGCAGGAGCCTGAGCTCAAGAGTTCACAAGAACCAGATGGACAGTTAAATCTAGGAATGTGACAAGCCCTCAGATAAGCAGCAAGGTGATGGATGCTGCTATGACTTTCTGCTCCTGCATGGAAAACATTTTTCCTTCACACTTTGTTCTTTTAATAAACCATTTGGATAGGACAAAGGCCAAGAGGCACCTATAAACTGAGCTTGCTACATGCCTCGACTCATAAGGCCCTCTCTAGTTTACATAAGCTTGTTTTAGTCCTGAGTTAAGCCTGGGTTAATCCTGGAGTGGTCTGAGTTCTGGCCATTTTTCAGTATAAAAATTCCTAGACAAGAAGTCCCCTTGGCAACCCAGTTGCAGGTCCCCTCCTGACTACTGGGACCTATTCTTCTCTTCTTAGTAAACATTCCTCCTGTTTCCTTTGTTCTCAGATTCATTCTTTGACTTCATGAGACCCAGATCATGCTGTTGCAAAAGCACATGGTGGGGCAGCCTCCTTAGATGGACCTGGGTTTCAGTGCCATCACCATGCTTGGTAACCAGTGAGGTTGGCCTGGCTCCTTAACATATCTGAGACCATTTAGTCCTCCATGAAACACAAGAAGAGCTCACTTGATCTAGTTCACAGGACTGTTCTGCAGCTTCAAGGTAACAGCAATGTACGTAACCTTATATGAATAGAATTAATCCATATTCCATTGTTGTAGAATTCAGAGACAGGAGAGACCAAATGGGAGTCAGGAGGATTTACTTAAAGTGTATATGCCAGCTCAGTGGACTCTTGTCTAAAATGGCTGAGCATTAAACAAAGAAAAGTTCCAGCTTTTATAAATTTTGTCAAAGGGGGTGGTTTTTCTAGTGACATAACAAGAGCTACCAGAACAGGACAAGGGCAGACAGTTTTGTAACTTTGCCCTGAAAGAACACAGTGTCTTATTACTCATATGAGAATAGAATGTCATAAACTTTATTTACAGAAGATATTTGTTAATTTTATCTGCACCAGAACAAGGAGTTACAGCTACAGGGGGTGGGGGACTGCCCAAGACTGGGAAAGACTTGTTTTCTTTAAGTCCTGCTTCATTCGCCCCTTTGATGTTCTTTATAACAAGTTTTATTAGAGAGCATCATCATTATTATTATCAACTTTTGTTATAAGGGGGTGCGCAGTACAACCTACTGAGCAGAGGTTGGTATTTGCTTAAGGCCATCAGTCGAGTGGTGGTGTGCTTGTTTATCAGGGTCTCTATGACTGAATGTTTTTGACAAGTAGGGATAAAAGGCAAGGGAGAATTATAACAAAGAGGATAAGAAACTTTTGTTGTCATTGTGACTCTATGTTGATCCTCAAGCTTTGGCCACAGGTGGACTGGTCAGCTTCAGGAGTGACCAGAGCAGGGCTGTTATCTCTAGTGGTGGCCGGATCTTGGAGCAAGATCAGCTGGTTTTGGTGGTCTGGATCTTGTTGGCTAGTGTACTTGTCATGAGTGGTTGGCTTTAGCCAACTGTGGTAGATCTAAGACACACTTCCTGTAATTTTTTTAATATCTTTTTTTTGGGGGGGGATACCAGGGATCGAACTTGGGACCTTGTACTTGCACAACAGGTGCCAGAAGTACTGAGCTAAATCCCTGGCCCCAGTTCCTGTAATTTTAACAGCAGTGAAGGTAGACAGGATTACAGTATGAGGCCCATCCCATATGGGCCCTAGAGTTGTTGGATTTTTTTTTTTGACCCAAACAAAGTCCCCAGGTTTGAATGGGTGTACTCAGTCTGTTAAGCTTATGGGCATTTTTTTCTTGTACCCAGCTATGGACATCTTGCAGGGCTATTCCCAAAGCCTGTACTTGTTTTTTTAGGGATGATTTTTCTAGTTTATAAAGATTACCCTTAATTTGACCAATGGTTGGAGGTGGTTGGCTGAACAAAATTTTATAATGGGAATACCCAGTTTGTTTGGTGGGGATGTACTGGACTTGGAGGGGGACCATGGCAGGACTTGATTTCATCTCAAGTGGGGTTTTTTGACAATATTTTTTCAGTAACTGTTTGAGTGTCAGGGCTTATGTATTCTATTTTTCCTGAGCTGTGTGGCCAGTAAGCTGTGTGAAGCTTTTATTTTATCTTTAACATTTGTGTGGGCTCCTGGACTATCTCAGCTATGAATGCTGGTCCATGGTGTAACTCTCAAGTTTCAAAGGCAGTCTAAATCTTGGCATGATGTCTTTTAACAGTAACTTGGTCACCTCTCATCTCTTTTATGTTTGGGTGGGGAAGGCTTTAATTTATTTTGAGAAGTTGCCAGCAAGCACCAATATATATTAATAGCCACTGGCTTGAGGCAATTTAGTAAAGTCCATAAGTAGGTTTTTAAATGGGGCAGCTCTCATTTCCAGAATACTTGGGGGCTGGGTAGGCTTTTGCCTTGGGTTGTTTTGGGCACAGGTTAGATGTTTGCTCACAAACAGCCCGAGTAATGGCAGTGAGCTGTAACACATAGAAATGGTGGCCTAGTAATGTTTCCAATGTTGTCTTTTCTATATGAGACCCCTAATGGAATTGTTTTTATAAACTTAGGGCCCAGCACTTCAGGGATGGCTAGCCTCCCATTAGCAAACTTTTGTCACTTTTTATAAACTTTCTAGATTGGGGGGCAAGTCAAGCTCTTTTATCTGAGGAGTAGATTAGGATCTCTGGGAGAAGAGGCTCTGAGACAAGGGGCACAGCCAAGGACCCTCCTTTGGGTTGAGAGGCTGCCATAGCAGCCCACTTTGTTTTTCTGTCTGTTTTTTGGTTTTTTCCTAGCTTTTAATGTCTCAGTTTATTGATGTCTTCTGCAGTGTACAATAGCCACCTTCTTTGGTGCCCATATTGTATCTTAGTACTTTGTATTTTTTTTTTCTAGCAGTTAAGAGTCCTCATATATATATGGCCCCATGCACATGTAATGTTGCAAAGGCATATTTGGAAACTGTGTAGATGTTAGCTTTTTGTCCTTTGTTTTTTGTCTTTTGGGATGAGGTTTTGTTGAGCAGAGGATGGGCCTCTAATGCAGAATCCAATGTCATCATCACATATCTTGTCCACTGAGCCCCTTCTAGGAACATTTGAGTCTTCAAGAGGGCAATCTGTGAGATCTCTCCAGCTTGAGAATACTTTGTGATTTTTAGCAATTTGTGAAGGGGAACTCCAGGCTCAACTGGGAGCAAAGTAGCTGGATTAAGAATGTTCATAGTCTGGACAATGTTATGAAAGACTATAACAAAACCATCTAGAAACACAAACATAAACAAAATCAAGCAGAAAATATGAGTGTGGATGGAGTGGAATGAGGCAGAATTTTGAATAAGGTCATCAGGGAAGGCCTAATTGAACAAGGAATCTTACTTCTCTGCCATCTGTGTCTGATGGTGATCCAAGACTTGAAGACTAAGTGAACTCAAGAGACTGGACCTTCTCCCATCCTTTCCTGTTTATAGGAATTGAAGGGAAAATTGCACCATGTATTGAATGATCTCTTTTGCAAATGTTAGCACTCACTGAAATCTCATCTGTCAAAAATACATGTTGCTCAAATTAAAAGACCTGATGAAAAATCAGGCAAGTGAAATGAACAGACATTTCTCAGAAGAAATACAAATGGCCAACAAATATGTGAAGAAATGTTCAACATCCTTGGCTATCAGAGAAATGTAAATTAAAACTTAGATTCCATCTTACTTCAGAAAGAAAGGCCATCATCAAGAAATTAAATAATAACAAATGTTGGCATGGTGGCAGGGAGAAAGGAAGTCTTTTACATTGTTGGTGTGAAAGTAAACTAGTACAACCACTATGAAAATCAGTATGGAGATCCCTCAAAAAAAGAAATTAGAAATTTCATTTGACCCAGATATTCCCATTATAGGTATGTTCCTAAAAGAGTTAAAGGTATCACACTACAGTGATATATCCATACCCATGTTTACAGCAGCACAACTCATAATAGATAAGTCTTGGAAGCAGTCTATATATCCAAAAGTAGATGAATGCATTTTAAAAATGGCGTTTACACACAATAGCATATGCTTTAATTCTCTGCCTTAAAGAAGAATAAATGTGAGTCATTTATAGGAAAATGGATGCAACTGGAGACCATAATGTTAAGTGAAAGAGTCGGAAACACAAACTTAAATATCACATGGTTTCTCTTCTATGAGAAACCCAAAAGATGAATGAAAAGCAAAATAGAAGACAAATAATAGGAAGCAGGGAGATAGATCTTTTTTAAATGGGAAGGGGATCAAGAGATGATGGGCGAAGGGGTGAGAGAAGGGAAAAGAAGACAAAAAAAGAATTAAGATGTGTTATGTGTATGTTTCAACTTCCCACAAAAATGTAATCATTATGTACTGCAAACATGGACTAATAAAAGAAATACAATGTCAATAGTAAAAAAGAAAAAAAGAAGAATGTTCATAGTCTGTAAGGCTATGCAGGAATTTTTACATAGGAGCCCTTAATATTGAATCATTTTGGGGTTTGATAACCAACTGTCCTCTCTGATATATCAAGGTAATGTCTGAATGTGGATGGTCAGTTGCTGTCTCAGAGTCAGTTTGTCAGCTTCCAGTGTCAACAGGGCAGTGGCAGCAAGCACTTTAAAGTATAGAGGCCACCCAGGGCCACAGAGTCTATTTGTTTTGACAAGTATGCCACCAGGCAGTGCCAGGACCCTATAACTACATCAGGACCCCCCCATGAGCATTTCGTTTCATTCCTAGATGTACAGGAAGAAAGGCTTGGTTATGTCTGTCAGCCCCAGGGCTGGAGACTGGGTTTAAGGCTTTTTTATTTGTTTGAATGTCCTCTCCTTTTTGGCTTCCCAGAGGGACTCCTTTTACCCGCTTTGGTAGCTTTATACAAGGGCTTAGCCATGAGTGAAAAGTTAGGGATCTAGATGTGGCAGAAATCTGCCACTGCCAGAAACTGTCTTATCTGGTATCTGGTAGTTGGGGTTGTTTTTGTTCAGTGCCCAGTTTGCATTCCCCTTTCGTTACTATAAAACCCAGATACTGGGCCATTTGTTGGCAAATTTGAGATTTCTTTTTAGACACCTTATATTTGGCCTAGAAGAGTAGGTGACAGTCATCCTTGGTCCCTTGGAAACAGTCCTCAAGAGAGGGAGCTGCAAAGAGAAGATCATGTACATATTGTAATAAAACATAGTCAGTTTCTTGTATGAGGAAGACCTTGAGATCAATGGCTAGTGTCTTCCCAAAGATTATAGGGGAGTCTTTACTCCCCATAGGAACCCTAGTCTAAGTGAGCTGTTTTTTTAATGCCGGTAACTGGGTCCTCCCATTGAAATGTAAAAATGGGTTGACTGATTGGTGCCAAGTGGAAACAGAAAAGCGTGTCTTTTAAGTCCAGGCAAGTGAACCAGGCAACACTTTCAGGCATGAGTCCCTTTAGTGTACATGGCTTTGGCATTGTACCATGTATGGTTTCAGTAGCCTGATATACCAGCAAAAGTGAGGTGTTCCAAGAAGACTGACATTTGATCTGGATTCTATTTTTATAAGCCTCTTTAAATGTCCCTGGATGCATTGTATAGCTTCTTGGGGGAGGAGGTTTTGGCAAATTCATACGGGAGTTTCCCCCAGTCTTAGTTCTATCACCACTGGAGCTTGATTTACAGCTAGTCTGGGTGGGTTATCTTCAGCCCATATTCTAGGAACTCTCTGTGTCAACCTATGCAGTTATTCACTCCCAGTTGAGGTGGTTTATCAGAGTACAGTCTCTATTCTTCACATTGTCTGACAGCAAGGGTTAATATTATAGCCTCTGGGTGGGTCAGATTTAAAATCATTTTTTTCTTGTGGCCTAAAGGCAATTTGGGCATATAACTTATGAAGCAAATGTCTTTCTACCAAGGGAATTGGGCAGTTTGGAAGGTATAGGAACTCATATCAGATCTCTTTTCCCCCTATAATACACCTCTTAGGCCAGAAAAATGGCCTTTTCTCTGGAACTCCATTAGCCCCAAGAATAATCACATAGTTTTTGTCCAATGGTCTAATGGGCTGTGTCACCATGGAATGTTCAGCTCCACTATCATAAAATCTATCAATTGGCACCCCAAGTCATCATGACCATAGGCTCCTGGGGGCTCAAAGAGGTGGAGTCTGGTCTGGGCTAGTCCTTGTGACCTTCAGCTCTGGCAAGCCCAATTAGATCCATGCCTTGCTCCCTGTGGTAATGGGCTCTTGTGGAGGGGTCTCCTGTCTTGTATTCTCTCTCATCTTTTTTATTTTTTTCTGGACATTTATCTTTCTAATGACCAGACTTTCTACATGACACACACTGATTCTAATCTAGTTTCTGACAGTACCAAGGTTTTTGATCTTTGCCTGGTAATTGTATGTTTGTTCGTTTGTTTTCACATCCTCATCCCTTTATGTCTCCTGCCTTTTCCCCCAAACGTGCTGCTGCTAGAGGTTTGTCTTATCCTTAAGCCTGTGGTCAGCATCCCGTTTTGCAGCCTGATCATGATCAACATATACCTTACTGCCCACTTCTATGAGCAGGGTAGCATTTATGCCAGCAAAGCCCTGTAGCTTTTATAATTTCTGCCTGATGTTGCCCTGTGCCTGTCCCACAAAAGCCACATCTACCATGTGCTAATTTTCAGTTGCCTCTGGGTTAAAGGGAGTGAGGAACCTGGTCGTTCTCCACCCCCAGTTATCATCCTATGCCAATTCTTTCCCCCTAGCTGGCCACTCTATATCAAAGGAGGGTCAATTTATTTCATAAAGGTCGTTAACCTCTAGGGGGTCAGCTTTACTCCATAGCCCCCCATATAGTCTTTTTTAAAGTTCTTTAATATACATCCTAATGGGGTGGGTTTTAATGCTTTTTTCTCCATATGCAAATTATTTTCTCAAGAACTTTTGTTTTAGGAATAACTTGAGCTCTGTCAAATTAACAAGCAGCCATATATATTTTTGAGTCTTTTGAGTGACAAAGAACTTTTGGAAGGAACAGCATTGCCTTTCATCAAACCAACAAGCAAACACACATATTTTCTTTGATAAATTACTTCTGCATGCTTTCTCTCGACATTTGTAAGTTTTTTGGTCATGTCATTATCTCCCTTTTTAACAAGAAAAAATTTTATCATATGAAACCTTTTTATATCAAAAGTATATTTTTTGTACTTACAGCCTTTTTTTTTTTTTTTTGGTACCGGGGATTGAACTCGGGTCATTGCACTTGTGCAGCAGGCGGCAAAACCACTGAGCTAAATCCCCAGCCCACTTACAGCCTTTTTAATCTTTTTCTCCCTCTCATTTATTATAAACTTTTTACAACAAGCTTGGCTGCAGTCACTTGGATTTTTAAAGTGTCCTTTTTTCTTTTTTCACTCTGTTCTCAGATTGTTGCATTTTAAATTTGACTGGCTGCCAACATACCTCGAAGTAACCTTAACTTAGTGTTCTTATCAATGGAACAGAGAGGAAAACAAGTTAACCTTATAATTCAAAAATTTGCAAAGTACAAAAAATGCTTTACACACACAAATTAAACAAAAACATCAATTCAAATTGGAAACCAAAGGTACGTTTATTAATTAGCTAAACTTTGTAATTTGATTCCTCCTGTAAAACCTCTTTATTCCCAATAGGATGCAGTCGCAGCTTTTTAACATTGATCATTCAGCCCTAGGCTGGTCTGCTCTGGCTTGTAGACACATGCAGGCCGCACCAGGCTGGTGACACTGAGGAAGCGCTGGCCTTGTGGCTCCTGAAGCCAGGAGCATCCCTCCCCTTGTCTTACTCCATGCTTTCTGGCACTTTGAAATGAAAGGATGATCTTTGTTTTGTCTTTTAACTTTGGCCGGTGCAGCTAGGACTAAGTCTCTCTACTTTGTGCCCTTGGCTCAGTCCAGCCACAAGACCAGCTGGTTGCTCAGGCATTCTTTCAGTTTTGGTCCCCATCCAGGCTGGTCATTGTCATCACCCTGTTTCCAACCACTTGCCACACCCCCTTAGCAAGTCACTCTCATTGTGGGCCTATCATGCAAGTTGTTAGCAACTTCCACTGCGGGCCACCCCCACATTCCTCTTGGGGTTGTAGGTTTTGTCTGACTTAGTCTGGGTTGGACTGACCATGAGCCTTTCCCAGGGTGGGCATTCCTATGTCCCTAGCACCCCTATGAGCCAATTTTCATTGCAGGCCACTCTTGCTTGGAGTGCCAGTGAGGTGATTTAATCCATGTCAGATTACTCAGATTACTCAGCACTCCCTGGGAAGTGATCAACTTCCCCTTCTGTCAATTCAGGACAGGTTCCCCCTGGGACCCCTACCTTACCACAGTCCTGTAGTGCACTGTTGTTTCAGAATTGTCCTGAATCCTAACAGCTTCCTTTTGCACTGGCAGGTGGGGCTTCTGGGCTGTGGGAGGGCTGATTCCCTCACTGGGTGAGACTTGAGCTCAAGTCTCACCCAGTGGCACCAGAGGTCTCAGTATTCCCAAACTCAGGCCCTTCTCAGGCCTGCAGGCAAAGGAGATAGCAATTCTGTCATCTCCTGCTCCTGAGTGGTTGCCAGACATGTTGCAGGATTCCGAGACAGGAGAGACCAAATGGGAGTCAGGAGGCTTTAAGGTGTATATACCAGCTCAGTGAACTCTGTGTCCAAAATGGCTGAGTTGTGAACAAAGAGAAGTTCCAGCTTTTATACATTTTGTCAAAGTGGGTGGTTTTTCTAGTTACATAGCAAGTGAGTTTACAGGAACAGAACAAGGGTACTTTTGTAACTTTCCTTGAAAGAAGACAGTGTCTTCTGAATCATATGAGAATAGAATGTCATAAACTTTGTTTACAGGAGACAGTTGTTAATTTTATCTGTACCAGAACAAGGAGTTACAGCTATAGGGGAGAAAGGGGTGATCTGGGGGGAGGCTGCCCAAGACTGGGAAGGATTTGTTTTCCTTTAAATCCCGCTGACCGTGACTTTTAGAAGTCAATAGTATGTCTTGGGATTCACCTATGTTCTTACACATACCCAGACTTTGCTTCATTGCAGTATAAAATTAGATTGAATGAATGTGCCAAAAATTTAAGTCTTATTTTACAATTAAAGAACATTTGAGTTGATCCAGGTTTTTGCTATCACTGGACAGTGCTGCTATGAATATTCTTGCACAGGTTTTCTAGAGCATATGTACAAGGGTTTCCCTAGGTTTATTCCAAAGGGGGGAGATGTGAAATCATAGTGTGTGTGGCTTCAAAATTGTTACAAAAGACTAAATTATCTTCTGTTATGTCTGCACCAATTTTAACTTCCACCAGTGCTGTACAAGTGTTAAAATCATCACTGATTCTTCTGATTTTCAAATTTTTCCTTTTCTGGTAGACATGAAACACTATTATATTTTGGTTTTAATTTGACTTCTTCCTTGATACTAAATAAAATTGATATTTTCATGTTTATAGTATATAAAGAAAGTAATGGCAAATTCAAACTCCTTGGCTAGAAGGAGGCCACAGAACAAATCGCCTCCTGCCCTTCATCCTGGGCCATCACTTGGAAGCATAGAGGGCCAGATGACAAGATGCCCTCTGACACTGACATCGGGGTGCCTGAGATAAGTGTGGGGCTGTGAGCTGCCACCTACTCCACATACAAATGAGGAGGTTACAGTTGTGACCCAGCTGCAGAACATCATCAACATCATCACCATCGTCACAGCAAATGTGCCCTGCACCTCTCCTTCTGCAGTAGTCACCGTGACTGCAGCTGCCCTTTCCAGCCCTAGTGGGTAGGTTTTGTAGAGAGATACAAGGAGTAGCTCGAAGGAGTGGAGCAGTCTGCCCAAGGCCCTCAGAGAAGTAGTAGAAGCAGCATTTGAAGGGGATGGACTCGTACATTTGCCTCCAGAGCCCACATGCACTAATGCAGTGTGCAGACCACTCCTCAGTGATGTGGTGCACGACGTACAAGGGGACACCTTCCAGGAACAGTGAGTCTTGGGTGAGTATCAGACAGGAGACCAGGTACATCATCTCGAAGTCTCTGCCTTGTGTCCCTGCTGGATGCTGGTGAGATCCTAGTGCCTGAAAGGTCCTAGTCAGTGATCATGGATATCATGTGATTGCTGGTAATGGCTGCCCAAACTGGTCCATTGGAAGAGATTTGGGTGGAAATCTTGCTCAGCAGGAAGCAGTGTGACTGTCACATCTATCATGACAGGAGAGGGGGAAGGATTTACAGAGGCTGCCCAGCAGACGACTGTACTGGAGAAGCCATAACCTTCTCCACTGGCCTTGGGGACAGCCCTGCAGCAAAAGTGCCTATTGATGGCTTGGTCATTGTGACTATTGCTGTGTTTAAACAGAAGCAATGCACAGACTGGAAGGAAACCCAATTTTATGTTCCTCCACTGTCCTTTCAAATGCCATGCAGTGGGATGGTCTGTCCTGTTCAGATAAGAAAGTTTGAGGAGGCCCTGTGGCTCCACTGATTATTCTTGGAATCATCCTACAGCCATGAGTACAGCCCAGCTGCACTTATCCTTTTTAGTGGACTCCAACTGGACTCGGCATCCAGGTCCCTCCCTGGCCTGGGTCTGGTCAGCAGCAAGGCTGGCTCTGCTCACCTCCTCCAGGGATTGGAGTCGGGGTGGTGGGAGGCACATATTGGGGTGAGGCAGTGCCAGCTCACATTCCTCTGGGGCTGGTGGACATGGAAGGTTGACTCTCAGGTGGGGTTTTCATTGGCTCTTTCAAGTTCCCCGCTGGCCCAAAGGGACAACCTGTGTGTGAAGGGGCTTCAGCTTTCTCAGCTCTCGAGTGCCTGCCAGGGCATCCCCAGCCTCCTCCTTCTCCTCCTCCTGTGGTCCTCTTGTCCCTTCAGGAAGCCCAGTGCCACCCCAAGCAGCCCCCATGGGGCCCCAGGACAAACACTGGCATCCAGGTCAGTCCCCACCCCAAAGCATCTCTCCCAGAGCCAGAGGGTCACAGCCATGCTGTTGCACCCCCAGCCCAGATTTCCTAGGGGTGGGTCAGACTCGGTCTCCAGAGAGGATCTCACTGACATATCCGGGAGAGGAGGGGAGAAAGCTCACATCTGGCTCCCTGCCATGCCAACCCCTACTACAGAGTTGGGATCTGCAGGGCAGAGCCTGGAAATTAGCACCAGGGTTGCCAGATAAGACACAGGTACCAGTTCAGCATAAAATGCAGGTCAGTGGTGATTTCCTTATTAGTGTAAGTGTGTACCAAACATTGCATATTAAAAAGTTTCTTGTTAACTGGAAATTCAAATTTACATAGATACCCTGTATTTTTATTTGCTGAATCTGTACTGACCCTGGCTCCACACAAAGGTCAGAGAACCACTCGCCAGCACTTCCATAATGTCAACACGAGAATTCTCCCTGGCAACCATCCCTGGACACCCATCCCATCCTGCGTTTTCCCCCCCTCTGAAGCTCCCCTCTATAGCACCCTCTATAGCTCTCCCATCCAGGCCCTAGACTTGCCCATTTCTACAGGAGTCTTTCCCATCAGAGTCTGCAGGGCAGGCACCCTATGGCATCCCTGGGCTCAGTGACTTTGTCCCCATCAGCCTGTCCCTCCAGCTGTTGGGACATGGTACAATCCATCATCACTGAAGCAGCTTTACAAAGCAAGGCTAGTCAGGGGACGAGGCCCCCAAGCCCTGTTCCCAGGTGGGATATGGACCATGGGGTGATCTTCTGGAGGAACTGGTCTTTCTAGAGGTCTTTCTAGGGATTTGGTTTAGATTCTTCCATAGAAAATGAACAGCAGTTCCAGTAGGATTAGCCATCTCCCTCCATTCACCAATGTGATCCAGGACCCAGGGACCCCTATGCTCCCAGAACCAATAGAAATTGAGCAAAGGTGAGGGTCCTGGTCAGCGTAGGGTGGAAGGCAGGTCTAGGGGAGGAAGGGAACTGAGTTCCAAAGAGGAGCAGCAGGAAAACCAGGGTACATCTGGTGAGGCCACCTGAGGGCTAGGAGCCAGAGTGAGCAGTGAGACCAGGGCCAGGTGGCACGTGTCTTGATATCATCAGAACAGCCTCAGGAGCAGTGGAGCTTTTATCCGGGGCAGGTGGAGCTGATACTTCCCAGGGCCACTCATCAGGCCTTGCTCAGCCTACAGAGGGAGCACTGGATAGCCAAGAGACACTGTGTCCAAGGAGGCACCAATGGGAGCTAGAGAAGAGCAGGGAGCCTGGAAGTAGCCAGAGCCACATCCTTAGTGATGGAGAGGGGCCTCCCAGTTACCTGGCCTCCCTTTGGGCTACTCTAGGCAGCACTGGAGGCCTCTGCTGCAGAGAAGGAGTCCAGGAACACACGAGGCTGGAGCCATGCAGCCACTTCCCTCATGTGGTGAGGGAAATGATGGTTGCCTCCTTTGGCCCTGGGACCCGACCTGTGGCCACACGGGCAGGCAGGGGAGCTCTGGTAAGCCCACTCGAGCCAGCGCCTGGAAAAGTGCAAATCTTAACCTAGCGGTGAGGCAGCCATGCACTAGGCATTTCCATCTAAGTCTGACATTTCCTCCTTTAGGAAGGGAGAGGGCACATCTGGGGATTGGGAGACCATGTGATTCAATCCAGGAAGTGCAGGGGGCAGGGAGTGTGCCCACTGGGCAGGGATGAGGGGTGGCCAGGACCTCTGGACATGCCTGTGAGAACCACGCCTGGGGCCACAGGCCAGAGTCCCAGGGCCATGTGGGGTGTGAGTGTCAGAGAGGCCTTGGGTCTCCTGAGGCTTCTCCTGAGCGTGTCCCCATGTCCCTGCCTGTGTCTTACCCACCTCACAGAGAACCCCAGGGAAGAGGAGGATGTGAGCCTTGCAGGAAGACTGGTGCAACGGAGCCGGGAAGCTGGAGCCCGAGGACACCAGGTGAAAAGGGGGGACACCAGCTCAGCAGGAAGGTGGCTCGGAGCAGAAAGCCCTCCTGGACCATGCCCCGGGTGAGCTGTCCTGGAAACAAAACAGCGGAAAGAATCTGCCTGACCTGGGCCCCTCCATTGTGACATCGCAGCCCCCAGGGCTATAAGAAGGCGGCCAGGCTGGCTGGGGCCACTCCCCCGACCCGGCCTCCATCACCCCCGGCACAGCCAGCCCACCATGCTCCTGCTCCCACTTCTGCTGCTCATGCCCCACGCCAAGGCAGCAGATGTTGGTACGTGGACTCCTCTCCCAGGGCCCTGGCAGCTGGTCCAGGCAGGGCTGGGCAGGAGTCAGCGTTCCCGCTTGCCCTTGTGCGGTCAGTGGTGAGCTCAGGAGCCAGCTGACTGGGTGCCCACCAGGGAGCCCCCTCACGAGGGCACGGGCAGCGCGGAACGTCCTCTTGGCCACTGTTCCTCGATGTCACTCCTCTCTTTGGGGGGTTGGGGTTGTACAAAAATTTGAATCCAAGGGCCAGGGATTTAGCTCAGTGGTTCTGCTGCCTCTCAAGTGCAAGGTCCCTAGTTCGATCCCCGGTACCAACAAACAAAAAACCAAAAATTTGAATCCAGGAGCCTTTGTACTGTGCTACATTCCTAGCTCTTTTTAAATTTTATTTCTTATTCTGAGACAGAGTCTCACTACATCATTAAATTGCCCAGTCTGGGCTCAAACTGGGGATCCCCCTGCCTGTCAGTCTCCCAGTGCTGGGATTACAGGCACGAGCCCCACACCTGGCTGAACTCTTTCCTCCCCGCCATTCCCCAGCCCCAAATTTGACCCGCCTACCCTTTAGCTTTGGTTTGGAAACCCAAGATTTTCTGCTGGAGGAACAAGGCAGTTCCTGGAATTAGGGAGCAATGAGTCTGCGTCCAGACTCACAGGGGGAGGAGCTTCAGGGAATCTGCGGACAGCATGGCAGCCTTGGCAGACCAAGTTCCAGGGTGCTCTGTCCCTGCGGGCAGCTCCCCCTGCTCCCTGAAGGCTCGGTGCCCCTTCCAGGGCTGCCGGCTCCTTAGCAGCAGTCACCTCCAGCGCTCCCCATGTCTAATGCCCATCTCACCACGGAGCTACAGTTTCTGCCCTTAGCCTGGGGCCGGATGGAGGGAGCTGCTGGAGGCTAAGGATTTGTCGAAAGTCACTCACAGGGAAATGGTGGAGCTATTTGCCTGATTCGCTTCCCACAGCCTCTGGCACAGTGCACAGCCTGTTCACCTGGCCTCCTTCATCCAGCCTGGGTCAGCTGCATGGAGCATGGTGTGAGGCAGTGGTGTGAGGCGATCATCAGCAGAACTGGCCCCTCAGATCTAATTGCAAGGAAGCCCAAAAGCACCATCATTTGAATCACTCCCCACCCTCTCCTCAGCCAGCGATGCTTCTAAGCTTGGGCTCAAAAGCAGATCGGAAACTCCACATGGCTCTGTGCTGGTGCTGCTCTCAGACCAGGCAGGGAAGGCGGGCCTGCCAGTCCGGGGACTTGGTGCAAAATGGATAAGACATTCTGCCAGCTATGCCAGCCGTGCCAGGACTTCCACTGTGCCAGGCATCTCACAGGCATCTCAGCCTCTGTCTCCTTCTGTCCTTAAATCGGCCACACAGGGTAGGAACCGCCTGAGGCCCTCGGGAATGAGGAGCAGAGGATGCAGCCTCCCCAGATCAGGTGATGTAAGTGACAGCCAGGGTCAGGCTCTGCTGTCTGCCTCCGAGCTTTTGGCAAGGGCCACCGCTGTTTCTCAGAGAGGAGATGTCTGTGACAGTCACCTGCCAGCCAGTGAGCTCTGCGCTCCGGGAATCTTGACGTACGTCCTCCCCCATGTCTACAGTCACAAGTTTTAAATGTTACTTTTGTCCTGACTTTTTAGATCACAGGCATTTTCCGACGTCCTTAAAAATTGCCCAGGAGCATAATGCTGATGGCAGGGATGTAGCTGCTGACCCAGGTGGTCAGGACACTGTTCGCCCCTAACGCTCAGGTTCCTTTCAGTTTGTTGCTATTCCAATCATCACGGCAGTGGCCATCTTCCAGCACAGATTTCCCCTTAGGATGCGTTTTCCAGGGTGGAATCCTGGACTCAGAGGAGCCCTGGAGGCTGCTCAGTGCTTCTCCAGGCGGGTGTGATCGGGCCCCAGCGTCACCCAGCACACGCCAGTCTCCACGTGGCGCTTCATGCTGGTGTCAGAGTCAGGTCAAGATCAGTGGGTCTACGCCATGCTAACGCAGTGAGGGGTATGACGCAGCAGGAGAGATGCAGAGAGGCAGGACAGGAGCACTATGCCAAGTATAGGCCAGTGACAGCCTCTAGGCAGAAGTGGTTCTCAGGCAGAGACCTAAACCTGTGAGGGAGAAAACCAGGCAACCGTGGAGAGAGCAGCACTGGGGCTGGGAGGAGCACTAATCCTGATGCTTGAATGACTGCCTTCAAATCTTAGTTGGGCCACCGACTAGCTGTGTACCTTGGGCAAATCACTTAGAGTACCAGTTGTCCCAACTGTAAAATGGGGATGAAATAAAGGTAGCCACCTTGTGGAGTGGTTGTGACCCTTAAAGAGAACTTGGCCTCTATAAGGTGCTTGCAAATGTGCCTGCCACACTGCTTGTGCCTGCTGACTAAAATAGAGGAAGTACAAGTCCAATCGTCCTACAGAGCTCGTCTGTGTTACTGACAGCCGAAGGTTCTCGATGCACATTGCTAAGTTCTCCATTTTTTAAACCAAAAATGACCCCCCTGGGTCACTGCAACGCACTCTCCAGAATCCTCAAAGCTGCTGCTGAGCTGATGTTGGCCAAGGAGCATCTAGCAAGGGGCACGGGGCATCTTGGGCTGTTAGGGTCAAACTCGGCCCTTGTTCTGGAAGCAAGCTGGAGACTCGGGCGGGCACAGGGGGCCAGGCTCGGCCTCACAGAGGGACATCACCCCACCACCACCAGCACAGCAGCTGCAGCCTCTGCTCCCCACCCCACACTGCAGCCGCTCTGCGTGGCCAGGGTCTCTCTGCGCCTTCCTTTCTCCCCTACTCACATCTGCTGCTAACTGATTCTTCGCCCTCTTCTATCAGGTTTTCAATTCTTTGGTGCTGGGGATGGAACCCAGGCCCTGACCCAGGGCAGGCCAGTGCCCTACTGCTGAGCCACAGCCCAGCCACCTCTCCAGCTCTCTTACGTGCCCTGGGAGTGAATGGGTCCCTCTGGTGCGTACAGGACACTCTCTATTTTGAGGTCAACTGATTAGGGATCTTCATTGCATCTCCCCGAGTCTTTGTTGCTTTGTGAGGGAAAATATTCACGGGTCCCAGAGAAGCGGAACTTCCCTGAGGGCCACTGCTCTGCCAGCCAGGACCAGTGCAGGAACAGGGGCATCTGCTTTCAAGCCCCTCCTCTCAGCCCTGCCGGCCCTGTGGATGCTGATGCAGCTCCTTCCTCCTCTCTCTTCCTCCCTGCAGGATGTGGTGAAAGACCCATTTTCAATGACAGAACTCAATATTCCCGGATCGTCGGGGGGAGAGAGGCGGGGGAGGGTGAGTTCCCATGGCAGGTGAGCATTCAGGTCGCCAATGAGCACCTTTGTGGTGGCACCATCCTCAGCGCATGGTGGATCCTCACAGCTGCTCACTGCTTAACTTCCGAGGAAATATCGTGAGTACCCAGGCCGGGCAGCCCACGCTTCTGCCAGGGCAGCCCAGGGCACCCGTGCACTCAACCAGACCTGACTACCAACAGAGAGTCTAGCGCTGCCCCCCCCCGAGCTGGACAGGACAGGAAGGACTCCCCCGCCCCGCCGCCTGGGGAGACTGTGGCCCCTGACTGAGGCTGGGTGGGGAACAGGGACTCCAGCTGCCCTGAGGTCACGATGGAGCACCTGCAGCCTGATGAGCCAGAGGGCATGGTCACTTGAGGGCTCCTAGGAGGAAATCCTAATTCTGGGAGTCTGGTTTACCAGACAGCTGAACAGGCTGTCTTCAGACAGGCATTTACTAATTAACCCCTCACCAGGGACCCTGCAAAGATGTCACCTGTGTTGCTCATTTGACCATGCAGCAACCCTCTGGGCAGGTAGAAGCAGTAACTCTACCTCATGGGTAGGGAATTGTGGTCTGGTACAGTTGGGCAGTCCACCCAAGGCACGTGCCTAGGACACAAAGGCAGGATTGAAATCCTGACTTCCACACACGTGCATTCAGCTTTACCTCCTTAAGACAGCTGGAAAATACCCAGAAAGCTGGATCAACACCCTATGGACAGAACTGTGGTTGTATCTCAGAGGTGGAGCACTTGCCCAGCATGCACAGGGCCCTGGGTTCAATCCCTGCACTGGAAAACAGAACAAAGCCCTATGGAGTTTCACCCTGGTGAAACAAGAACACCTTCTTCCTGGGATACTTAGGGACTGGCCACTGGAAAACTCATGGCCAGCAGGAGCAGGTCCCCAGACTGACTTATCACTGAAGGCCTTCCTGCTTAGCCAGTGGTGGGACCAAATTCAGCTCTGCTCCTGGACTCTGACTTGTTTTGACTGAGTGGCTGGGCCATGTGTGCAGTGTGGGTGGCCATTCACGTGTGTGGTACCATCTTGACAGCTACTTTGATCTGTGCCTAGCTGTCCTGTGTGGGTTCCCAGGGTCCAGTTTGAGCTTCGCCTCTGCTCTCTTCTGGTACCTCGTTCCCCTGAGGGAATGCTCTGCATTGCCCTCTCCCTCTACTTTTTTAATCCTCCCACCTTCTGAGCAACAGGCCCCATAGCTCCATCCTAAAGGTCCCTAGAAGTACATGCAATGTAGGTTTGGAGGTTCAGAGAATTCCGGGTACTTTTGTGACTTCCTTCCTGTCCTCCCTTCCTTTCTCTGCCACAACCAGCCCCAAAGAACTGCGTGTGGTGGTGGGGACCAACGACTTAACCAACCCACGCTTGGAAATTAAGCAGGTCACCAGCATCATCTGCCACAGGGGCTACGTGAGAGCCACCATGGACAACGATATCGGCTTGCTGCTGCTGGCCTCACCCATCAAGTTCAACGGCCTGAAAGTGCCCATCTGCCTGCCCCCGCAGCCCAGCCCCATCAGCTGGCTCGAGTGCTGGGTGGCAGGATGGGGACAGACCAGTTCAAGTACATGACACCCATATCTCGGGAGAGCCACTGAGGAAGAGCCTTGCAGTGGGAGGGAGAGGGGAGCAAAGAGGAGGGGCGGGCAGGACTTGCCCCGGCAAACCAGCGGTGGCTCCTCTCAGACACCCACCAGGGAGCGCATCCCCAAGGCCAGGCTGAAATGCTCCTTCAGTACAGGCTCCTTTGTTTAATGGAATTTACAGTCCAGCTGCCCAGAGGCCCCTCTGCTCTTTATTCTCAGGTGGCACCCAGGGATGGGTCCCACTACTTCCTATTAGTGTCCCTGATGCCCACCGTGGGCTAGGCACCCCCTAGGGACATCCTGCAGCCCTGCCCAGCGTTCTTAGACAGGAGTTCACTGTTACCTGTGAGGCTGTTCCCTGGCCAGAATAGGAGAAAGCATGCAGGGCAGAAAGGTGTGACGAAGGACCTTCTGGCCTCCCTTAAGGAAAACCTGGCAAAGCCAAAAGCAGACAGCAGGCAGTGGAGTTATGGGGACAGCAGACTTGAGTCCATGGGGTGATTTGGAGCGAGCCAGGGTCTGGGTCATGGGGGGCCATTTCCGGAGCTCAGCAGAGGAGGTGGGTAGAGCTCGGGTTCTGGCTCCAAGGAGTTCTCAAAGCTAGAAGCAGATGGGACCACATGAGATTAAAAACCCTCAGTAAGGGGAAGAGTTATGAAATTCTGTATGCTCAGAGTTGATGAAGAAGAAGAGAAGTCCAGGCAAATTGCTGGCACCTGCATGCCCAGACCACAAACCCGCCTCTAACCCCTCTGAAGAGTTGCAGCCAACCCACCCTTGTGCATTTTCACTGGGGTGCAAACTGGTTCCACATGGCCCTTCGGGGAAGCTATTGCCCATAATAAGCGGTAGCCAGGGGCAAACAAACTGATGAGGCAGGACAGTGCAGTCAGTAGGGCCGGCGGGAGTCAGGCCCTCCTGGGGGAAGTGAGGTTCTACAAGAGAGGATGGTCCAGTAGGAGGGAAAGTCGGGGAAGCGTGGGCTGTGTGGTGCCACTGAGGGCCACAGAGAGTAGACCAGGAGGAGTGTGGGCTGAGGGCAGGGATGGGGGCTGAGGTGTGCAGGGTGCTCACTAGGGCACAGCCAGTTGTGTCATCTCCATGGAGACCCACTCCCCAGTGGCTCTGCTAATGACCCTTTCTCTGTGGTCCAGCTGAAAAAAACTCCATGAAAAGCGATCTGATGAAAGTGCCAATGGTCATCATGGACTGGAAGGAATGTTCCAAGCTGTTCTCAAAACTCACCAAAAACATGCTGTGTGCCGGGTACCAGAACAAGAACTACGACGCCTGCCAGGTAACTCGGGCCACCTCTCTCTACTCGGAAGAGATGGCGAAGATTCTGGAAATGCATGGGAATCGGGGCCTATAGCCAGGCAGCAGGGGCAGGGATGGCAGAGTCTCTGAACACTGTGTACAGCGGCCTCTGGGCACACCTGGGGGTCAGCAGGCAGCAACCTTTCGGAAGTAGTTCCACTCTTCTTCCGGAACACTAGGTAAATCGGGCTCCGTCACTTTTCCCACTTCTGGGAATTCTTACAGAACAAAAAGCCAATGAGGAGTTGAGGGCCATACAAGGAGTCATTTTAGCTCATTCATTAAGCAGCCCTGATTGAGCACACTGGGCCCTGGGGCCCATGGATGACCTGCTCCTCACCCCAGGGACCCACGCGCTCCTGGGGAGGGAGCAAGGTGGACAACCAGTGGTGCAAGTAGTTGTCATTGAACCAAAATTTCATCTCATAGGCGGTTTAATGAAATGAACACCACAATATTAAAATCCCTATCCCTTTTGATGGGTCACTAGAAAAATAGAAATTCAGAGCTTAGGTCCTCTGGTTCCTAGGATGAATAAGATTGGTACTTAAGCTCAAAGATGCTCTCTGTCCTGCTCGAGGCCACCTGATGAGAGCTAGGGACCTACTCGCTGGCTGAGCAGTGGCTCTGGTCGTGGATGTGAAACTACAAATGCAGATGTGGGGTGACTGTGCAGGGGAGGACAGGCTGCCCACGAAGGGGAGCGTGCTCGTCCATGCATTATCTATTACCGTGCAATACAGAGAGGCTGGTAGCTTTCCTGGCTAAGCTATAAGGGGCCTTGGGAGGGGGCTTCTGGGGCAGGGTTTGAAGCAGTGAGGTGGGAGAGAATGGAGCAGGGATCTGAGGTCAGCAGCAGCAGGGGGTCCAGCAACACACACCTGGTCCAGAAGGAGATCCCCGTGTCGTGAGCCCTGGGAGGACCGAAAAGAAAGCCGGAATAAAGGTTCTGTGAGCCTTGTGTTTTCTTCACTTTCTGGGCAATTTCAAATGTTGCAAAACAAAGTAGAATTCTGATTCCAGGAAAGATAGAGCAGGCACGCTTCTTTCCATCCCTCCCACTCTGTACAGCTAAAGCCTGTGTTGGAGGTCCCCAGGAGTGATGCAGGGGATGGGGTGGGAAGAGGGGGTGTGGGACTACTGAAGGGCAGAGGGGGCATCCTGGTGGCCATGGGGGTGCTCTGTCTTCTGACGGTATCAGTGTTGGAGTCCTGATTGTACTACAGTACTGCCAGATATCACTGGGGAAACTGAGGGGACACAGGAGCTCTGTATTATTTCAACTGCATAAAGTCCACCATTACCTCAAAATAAAATGTTCAGCTTTAAAAAGTATTTTAAGTAGCACAATCAAGCAAAATATAAGATCCACACCCAGTAACACAATGCTGGTCCCCCTGAAGCAGCAACTGTCACAGGGAGCTGTGTTCTTATCTGTCCCCTGTCCCCAGCTCCAAAACACAAATTCCCAGTGCCCCATCCAAGGCTCAGCCCATGGCAAATGCTCAAGTAAGGGAGCTCAGGCAGCCAGCTCTCTGTGGCTATCAGTAAAGCAGCCACAGAGAAATCCCCAAGGTCCTGAGTCTGCGGGTGCAAAAGGGGTTTGAGAGTGGTGGGTGGCACTGGGCTTTGGGCAGTTCGGTTGGGGGCTGTCCTGCTTACTCACATTTAGGCCTGCTTGATTAACTCACATTACACTTACTGTGCACTTATTTGTATTACTATCCAAATTGCCATTACGCAGAATCAGTGGGAGCCCAGAGTTGTTTTCCTGCAACTAAATGGCCCCTTCTTGGAGTGATGAGAGACAGTGACATCCACAGTGTGTTGCTTATGTCCAGTCTACTCCTTAATTTCATTCAGGTTGCTGTTACTGCAGAAAAACCTGCTTCATAAAGATAGGATGCAGGAAATGCGAGCAGGCTTTTTAGTGGTTTTGAGGCAATCTCAGGATATCAGCCTTGACTTTAATCCAGAACCTGTGGAGATTGGACATTGTCTCAAACATACTTTCAAGGCCACCAGCATTTATAATGTCAAGCAAATGATCTTCTACTACAGACAAAGTCTTTTCACCTGGCATATTCACAAATGTGTTGTGCATTCCCTCTCAGTCCAGGGATCTTTTGTGATTGGAAGTAATGCTCAAATTCTTTTGAAAGCTGAGATAGGTGATCATGCACCAGCTAGGAGAAAGAATGTGCTGGCTCAGTCTCTTTCAAAATCTCTGCTAATGCTGACACATGTCTAATATCCCAATGTTCACTCATACGCCTCATAATTCCAGTTTGGCTTTGAATGCAGCCACTTTATCTGGCAACTTGAACACTGTTATTGTTCCCATCAGTGACAGATGGATTGAGTTCATTGGTTGGGCTGAATATGTCACATGAACAAGCAAGTTTAAGGACCCATTCTGTGTCACTGAAATGCACTGCCAGAGACTATTTTTCCCAAAGAAATCTCTGCAGTAGCTCTCATAACTCAAAAACTTTGGCCAGGGATCTACCTTTAGAAAGCCATCTCACTTCATGTATTGGGGAAGATGTATATGCTCTGCTTCCATCTCCTCACAGAACTGCCTGAACAGATGTGAGTCAAGGGCATGTACTTTAATGTAGTTGATCATTTTAATCACATCCTGCAAAATATTGAGCTCAGGTGACCTTTTTGTCTGGTCAGCATTTCTCTATGGATGACAAATGCATAGACACACATCTAGAAGTGACCTCTTTGATCCAAGGAGTGAAACCAGAAAGCTGTCCACTCATGGCAGCCACTCTGTCCATGCATGCATCAACACAAATTGACCAGTTCAGTTTTCCTGATACATAATCATTCAAAAATTTGAATATTTCTTCAGCTGTGTTATTGGTTGGCAAGAAAACTGCACATAACCAATCCTTACACATATCTTCCTGAAAAATATATCACACAGAAGGAAGGATTGTTACCTTGTCAACATTAGTAGACTTGCCAACCTGGATTGTGTACCAGGGTGACTCATTAATCCTCTCTAACAATGCTTGGTATCCTCTTCTATTTCATCAGACTAGTTATGGTGCTAGTTGAAAGGAACACATGCCACCTTTTGAACTGTGGGCTCTCCCAAAAGCTCATGACAAATGTCCTTAGCAGCAGACAGGATCAACCCTTCAGCAATAGTAAAGGGTTTCTTAGCTTTAATAATGCAGTGAGCCATTGAGAACGATGTTCTCAGGCACTTTGAAGAAGTAGTGGCCTTTGGTAATTGCTTCTGTTCTTTGTGTTCATGTTTCTTTCTTTTGGAAAACTCCAAAGGCTTATCTTTTAATTCAAGGTGAATGGGCAGTTTTGAAAGTTTTGTGGCTTTGTTGGATAGCCGATTGCCACATACACCAGTACCTCGTTCACAAACTTAACTCATTCCATGATTCTGGAAAAGATGGCCACATTCCTGTTTATGTGGGAAAGATGGCCGTGGTCATGTTCATCACCCAATGCAGAATTAGCAAACAAAAACAAAATGTTGCCAAATGCTTCTGTTTGCAAACCAAACAGGTATCACTGTATTATACAAAATGAGTTTGGGGAATGTGAATCACCTGTTGTGATGAACCTGTCATTATGTAGGACTCTTGGTATTTTCTTTTAAGCGCAGCTTTGCTTTTGTTGGCAGTCTTAGAGTCTTCTGCTGTCTCATCATTGGGCTTTGTCCCCTTTTCAAAGAAACTCTCCAGTAACATTTGATTTTTACTCATTTTGGCTAGGGTTAACAGTGGGCTTACCAAAACTGACTGAGACAATTATGCAGTGCAAGAAAGAGGTATAGCAAATAAAATAATTGCCAGCCCACACTTGGACTAAAATAATTTTCAAATTATGACTTAAAACCTGGCCCAGATGCAGCTATACAATTGAAGTACATTGACTCACTTCCCACTATGAAGTCTGCCATGAGATGTAGCTTGTTACTTGCCTCTCACTGCTGGAGTTTTGCCATGAGTCTGCAAGCAGTTGATTTATTATGGTCTCTGTGCAGTCAGACCTCTCTGCCAATGTTCATCTGTGTTTTCACCCACTCCTCAGTGCTAGCATCACTGCCTCAACTCCACCTCAGATCATCAGGCATTGAATTCTCATCAGGAGCACATAGCCTAGATTCTCCACATGCATGGTTTGCACACCTATGAGAAGCTAAAAGCTCCCTGTTCTGACAGGAAGTAGAACTCAGGCAGTAATTCAAGGGGTGAGAAGAAGCTAGAAATACAGATGAAGCTTTTCTCACTGTTAACAGGCCACAGACAGTTGAGGATCCCTATTATAAACAGTTCTTCCTATGTATGGAAAAAAATAACCAAGGCAACATTTTAAAAGATTTTTATAACATTTATACCTTCATAAGAAGAAAAAATGATAAAAATCACATTCATGGAATGAACAATTTGAGTGGAAAGTCCACTGCTTGTGTTCTTGCCCCGTAACTGCAAAGCACACCCACCCACCTGAGACAGGCAAGTGAGAGAGGCAGCATTTTGTACCGGGAAGGGTCAGCCGGCTGGGTGTCCTCCGGCAGAGCGGACCCTGCTCTGTGCACCCAGGCCCATCTGCTCGGAGGTGTGTTCCATGATGGGACTAAACTGCACTCAAACACATTTGCTGGTCTTCATTCTTCACACTTTGCTCCCATTCCCTGTATCCTGTGATCCTGATTTGTCCTCGCTGTCCATGTCCAGTGTCCATCTGTGGCTGTCACCAGCTGGGTCCACCCTGTCCATCCTCCTCTCTTTCCTAACCTTCTCATGCCTTGCTTCTGCCTCTCATGGTTTCCCCTCCTCTAACCCATGATGCTCCCACCCCCTGCCCGGCTCCCCCTGAGCAGCCCCCACATTCCCCCATCAGGGCCCTGCTCACCAGGAGCCCCGCACTCTGGTCCGAGACCCTTGCTGAGTCCCCCGCACACTGCTGTGTGACACAGTCACCCTCTCCCGTGAAGTCCCACACAGCTGTCCTGTCTGTCCCAGTGCCTCCCCTGCACTGGACCTGCAGGTCTTGTGTCCCCTAGGCCGGGCCATTAGTTTCCCCTCAGTGAAGATTTGTTAGGGTTCAAACTCTTCTGGCCCTGAACTTACTAATTTCAAAATGGGAACCAGGATAACTACTCGCAGAGATGAGAAAACGTCCTCCCCTTCCTCCCCTCCTGGAGCCCCTCACCACCCATCGTTCCAGGTGCCATGTGCAGTCACAGCCGGGGTGGGGCACCCCCTCCTAGAGAAAAGCCCCCGGCAGGGCTGTTGCTTCGCAGGCGAGGGAGCAGTGGCACCAGGGTGAAAGAGTGAGCAAGGGCTCAGGCATCAGAAAACCCCAGCTTCCAGCTCTGGCCTGGTGACTGTGGGGCCTTCGGCAAGCCTGCCCTCCTCCTTGGGGCTCATTGGCCCCCATTCAAAGGACAGAAGGAGGCCACAAGCAGTGTATGCGGTGCAGGGCTTGGATGTGCACATTGCTGCACCTCACCGGGCCACACGTGAGGCCCAGACCAACAGGGCAGCTCGCATTCCGGAAACATAGCCACGAGTCCCTGGCAAACATCACACTGAAGAGTTCAAAGGGGAAGTCATTTTCCCCCACTTCTCTAGAAGAGCACCTGAGGGGGTCCTGCTGCTAACCCTAACAATGCTGCTTGTGTGTGTTCCCTTTCCTGCCCTTTCCAGAGCCTCTGGCCTGGGGTGACCGCAGCCTGCCTCCAGCCCTGCACCTGCCTGCTTCCCCAACCCTCTCCCCAGCCGAGAGCTGGCAGCGCTCACCAAGCCTCCCTCTTCCCCCTCCTCCCTCCGCAGCCTGGCCCCTACAGCTCCTGAGCCAGCCTGACCACAGCACGCTGCCCCCAGGGCCCGGCTGGCATCTCAGGGATTTCCTGCGGCAGTCTGGAGTAGGAAGGCGGTTGGACCCCCTTGTGTTGTGCCAGTTGAGGGGAGACTGGCTACTGATCTGTGTTCTCTGCCCACAGGGCGACAGCGGGGGGCCCCTCGTCTGCACCACAGATGAGTCGAGCAGTAAGTGGTACCAGGTGGGCATTATCAGCTGGGGCAGGAGCTGTGGGCAGAAGAACACCCCAGGAATATACACCCTCTTGGCCAAATACAACCGCTGGATCAAGAACGTGACACAGCTGGAGGGAAGGCCCTATAGCGTTGAGGAAATGTGGGATTCTCCGGAACAACCACGACAAAACTCTGGGACCTCAGCAAGCCCCGTGCCAGGCAGCCGAACAGCCTGGCTCCTGGCCCGCCTTCTGCCCTGCCTGTTGCTCAGAGCTCTTTTCAACTGGTAATAAAACAGGTGCAGTCCCTCACCAAAGCCAGCCTAAGTGCCCAGGCAGGGCTCACTTTTGTGCTCTCCCTGCCTCAACCTCCCAGAGTGCTGGGATTACAGGTGTGGCTCCCTGTACCTGGCTCCCAATGCTATTTTGTGTATTTTGTTGCTCTAATTGTTCCAGCCCTGGCCACAGCCGCTCTCAGTTGGCCCCTCTGACAGCCCATATCAGGGTGTATCCTAGGCTGGCCTCCAAGTCCTGACCGTCCTGCCTCACCCTCCTGAATGCTAAGGTCACAGGCCTGTGCCACCACCATGCCAGGCTTTTTGTCTTCTTTGGAACACTTCCTTATGCTCTGGCATTAGAAAATGCTAAAGGAAGCATTTTTAATTGCAAGCTGATGAAATTCTCAGTGTTAGTTAGTTAGAAATCCTCAGTGTCAGAGGCTGCAGCTGGATGAGTTCTTACACCAAGGAGACCGGCCTCACTGCTGCATGCTGTAACCCAAGGGTCTTGCCCAGGACACTAAACTGCAGATAGGAAAATGCACTGGAGCCGGGCAGTGGGTGACAGAACAGCCCAGCAGGATTCAGGAGTGTGCAGCACTTTAAACCCCAGTGGGCACATGGCCGCTCCAGCCCATCTGCTCTGCATCTAGATAATGTTGAACACCATGGGGTGGAACTTCCCGTCCTGCAGCCACTGAGAGGAGAGGAGGGCAGGAGAGAGGAGGATGCGTTCTCGGCCTCAGTGGGACAGGCAGAGAGATGTTTAACAGCCATTGGAATATGAGGTTTGGAGCCTGAGCTTTAGTCTCTTAGAAAGGGTAATTTAAGCCACATCAAGGGACAGAATGTCAAACCAGAGGTCAGATCTCTTGGCCAATATCTGATTTTCTTAATAATTTCAAGGGTCTGGAGAGGCCATGCAGGCCAAAGCCCAGGGCTGCCTGTGCAGCTGGCCGGGTCCTTATATCAGAGGATGACAAGCTCTGGCCTGGCTTTAACACAGGCAGTGTCTACACCCTGGCTGCTGCAGCATCACTTGGCCAGAGAGCACTCTTTCCATTAGAAACATCCCCATTTTGTTTTCAGTTAAGTGCATGACTCGCCTGATTTTTCAAGAGCATCGTGCCCATGCACCCAGACCCCAGGTTTGTCTGCCATGAGCAGTATCAGGTAGACCAGATACCTCTTGCCAATCATACACTGTAGCGAAGGACACTGCTGAAGAATACCAGGGGCGTGTTTTCCAAGAGCTCTGTGTGATGCTAAGATGATTTCTTCTGGTCATGCTTCCCCAGGACAGGGTCAGCATGGATTGCAGGTCCTTTCCTTCCCAGTAGTGGAAGACACTCAGGGGGGAGAGCAAAGGGGAAAAAATAGGATGAGGACAGAACCCTAGAGAAAACTTAGTAGCTGAAAGGCTGGCAGAGAAGAAAATGTGTCAAGGAGCCTGAGAAGGCAGCCAGGGGTTGGGAGGAAGGCAGGGAAATGCTGTGCCTCAGAAGGTAGATGAAGGAATCGTTTGCTCATCAAACACTGCTGAGGGTCAGAGAAAATAAAGGCTGAGTGTGGTGGTACATGTCTCTAATCCCAGCACTCTGGGAGGCTGAGGCAGGAGGATCCCAAGTTTTAACCCAGCCCCAGCAACTTACTTAGTGAAACCCTGTCTCAAAATGAACAAACAAATAGGGATGTAGTCAGTGCAAAGGCCCTGGGTTCCATCTCCAGTACTAGAAGGAAAGAGAAAGAAAGAAAGAAAGAAAGAAAGAAAGAAAGAAAGAAAGAAAGAAAGAAAGAAAGAAAGAAAGAAAGAAAAGAAAAGAGTGAGAGAGAAAGGAAAGGAAAGGAGAGAAGCCCATGAAGGCTAACTCAGAGGCATGGTAGCCTGGTGTCCCAGGTTCGACAGCTCAGTTCCCATTAAGGCCCAGTACCAAGCCCGGAGCTGTTTTTCAAAGGGAGAGGCATTGCCTGCAGCTGATGGCAGCTCGCAGTGAGCGCTTCCCTGGGAGCTGCCAAGCACCCAGCCTCCTGCCCGTGCCAGCCTGCCTCCTTCCCCCGGCTGTGCTGCCCTGCCAGTCGCAGGAGCGCCTGTGTGCTTACTGTGTCTGTCCCTCCACGAGAACGAGACTTCTGCCTGTGGACTTTGCTCTTGTTCCAAATACATGGAACAGCACCAGTGAATGCAAGGTTTTGGCGAGTGTTTGATGAATGAATAAACAACCCCCAGAACCCACCAACCCACTGTGATTTTTGCTTTCTCTGTTTGCTTAATCTCTGTATGGTGCAACCGTATTTTGCTACGGGCTATCTAGCACTCTGCGAGCTGAGACCTACAGGAGGCAAGGGGGCACCATGCTGTTGTGTGGGACAGGAGCATCCCGGAAGATAGCAGGTGCCTTCGTGGAACAGAGCTTCGGGAGCTATGAGGAATGAACTAGGAAGGCTTTGAAGCCAGGAACACAGCCCGCTCGCAGCCACAGTGGGGCTGCAATTCCAGGATGTCGCCAGAAGGTGGCAGAGTGACTCCAGGCAGGAGGTCTTCCAGCCGAAGAAAGTTCCTTATTCCTTTCCGGGAGGAAGGCTGGACAGGCCTCAAGACGCCAGACACGCAGGCTGAGGCTGGGGTCCCATGGGGCCCCTCCCTGGCTTCTGTCCTGGAGAGCCCACCCTGTGAGCTGCGGCTCCACCCAGCGCTGATCCCTGCAGCCTAAACTCCTCGGAACCCTGCTGGGTGGGGTTGAAGGTAGGGCCCTGGTCTGAGCCCAGGCTTGCGAATGTCCCCAGACTGTCACCGAGGAGGAAGGCATGGCCCGGGAAACCTGGCAGCCGTGCGTGTTCTGGGACACCCCAGCCAATACCACTTGTTGGCCTTATTAGGGGACACTGGGGCACCGGGCCCCTACCCTGCCTCCACCACCGAGTCGGATTTGCACCCCGCCTGCCGTGGGAGTACTTGACGGGGCCGTGTTCTGTCCAAAGTCCTGTCACCAGGACGCCTTAGCTGAGTGACTGCTGTGTAAGCCTCCCCAGGAGGACCAGCTCCATGCGGCTGTGGTGACTGGGCCTCCCCTTCCGCAGGGCACAGTATGTGCGTGGGCCGAGGTGTGCGACGGGCAGGGGCGTGCACAGCCGTGTGCACAAGCGTGCCTGTGTGCGCTGGGGGCCTGCTTGAGGGACCGGTGTGTGCTCAGTTGTCCTGTCTCCTGTTCCAGTCCGATGCCTCTCAGTAAATTAGTTATTCCCACGAAGACATCCGTGCTCCCACGGCGGGCGACGTGGGCCCGCCCCCTCCAGGGCCACTTCCCACAGCGCCCTCCCGTTGCGGAGCATGCGCACAAGGCGCAGTCTTCCAGGCCACTGGAAGGATATCCTCTAAAAGCCATCTGTGTTCAACAACCGTGAAGGTCGTGCCTCTTAGCTGAGGGTCAAAGGCGCAGGAAGCAATCCAGCACTCGGGATCCTTACTGGTCCCCTCCTCGCTGGCCTTCTTTCCGCCTAGGACGATGACAACATGAGGCAGAAGCAAGTGCTCTGGGCTGTAACAGGCGCTGGCGCCTTCATGGACGCCTGCTGTTACTGAACCAGAATGAGAGCAAATCAGTGCTGACTATGTGTGGAGCACAGATCAGATGGACTGTCTCAGGAGCCCTGGACTCGGCTGCATCACACGCTGACGCTGACGGAGGCGGAGCACCCAGGGGTGCAGCGCCCAGTGCTGCAGAAGACTGTGGAGCCCTGGGAAACGGGCTCCACCTCCTGCCCTCACGGACGTGGTGCACACTGGAGTCTCCAGGCTTTGGAAGAAAGGGCAGGGGAATGGGAGCGACGGCTAGGAGGAAACTCCTGGTCACTCCATGGGGACAAGGTTGGGGACCCTGGCGGACACCGAGAGCCTGTCCCTAATTGCCGGTGCCCTCCAGCTTGGAGCCCTTCCAGGGTGAAATCGGAGAGTTCTGAAGACAGAAAGCTAGGGCACCCAGGGAATGTCTCCGTTAAGCTGCCGAGCACTGGGCTGGAAAGCGATGCTTTTGCATAGCCCCAAAAGCATGGCCACGAAGCAAAAACAGGAAAACGGGATGGCATTAAACTAAAAAGCTTCTGAAGAGCCAAGAAAAATGCCCACAAAGCAAAGAGACAATTTAAGGAATGGGGAAATATTTGCAAACCATGTCCCTGATAAGAGGTTAATATCCAAAAAAATTAGCATTATCTTTTGTAATATTAAGGATTGAACCCAAGACTTTTTGCTCTGAGCTGTATCCCCACTTTTTATTTTTTTATTTTCAGACAGAATGTCACTAAGTCATTAAATAACCCAGGCTGGGCATGAACTTGCAATTCTCCTGCCTCAGCCTCCCAGAGTCCTGGGATTACAGGCTTCCACCACCATGCCCAGCTAATATCCAAAATATTTAAGGAACTCAAATAATTCAGTAGCAAAAAACAAGTAACCTGATTTAAAAATGAATAAAGGACCTGGTGGACATTTCTCAAAAGAAGACCCACGAAGTGCCGGTGGGTATGTGAAAGAGTGGTCCACTCGGCTAATCAATTATCAGGTAAATGCACCTGTTAGGGAGCTGTTGTCAAAGATGACGCTGAGGATGGTGCAGAAAGGGGCCCCTTGCACACTGTTGGTGGGAGTGTAAATTAGTGCCGATATGGAAAACAGGATGGAGGTTCGTCCAGAAATAAAACACAGAGCTGCTTGTTGATCCAGTGGACCTATCTCAGAGCCCCTGGGTTGCTGGAGGGTGCACTGCCAGCGGGGTTGGAGAGCAGCCTTTGCTGAGTTAGAGAGGAAGCCCCACCATGCTGCTAGCGGGCCCACAGGGGCCTTGGAACGGGGTCCCACGCCGCCTCCTGGAGGGGCAGCCTCCCCGGGCCTGATGACCCCTGGGAGATTCCTCACTGACCGCAGGATCCAAACCCCTTCGCTGCCATCTAGAATTGGCCTGGGCAGTGGGGTCCCACAGTCCCCGCCGTCTGCCCTGGGGTCTGAGTCGCTGCTGCTTGGCTGAGTCTTCTGGACCCCTGCGACCCTGACAGGGCTTGGAGTGCTGCATTTGGGATTTTGGTTTCCACTTTTTTTTTGGAAATAATTATAGAGCCACTGGGCTCCCTCGTGCTCCCCGTGCCAGCCTCCCCACCACCTCACCCCTGAGCCCTTGTGCACCCCAATCAGCCCCCATCTCAAGGATTTTGGTATTTCGAGAATGGGATTTAGAGGAGACATCACCTCGAGCCTTTTGAGGTGGACGACGTTCGCCCAGTGCAGCTCCCTTGAGAGCCTGCAGTGCTGTGTGGATCAAGCTTTTGCTGTTTTGTGGCCTGATGAAGCACAGGTCACAGCCGTTCCTCTATGAAAGGTGTCTGGGCCATTTCCAGTTTGGGGCAGCTGCAAATACAGTGGCCGTGAACATTCAACATTCCTGTGCAGGTTTTCACATGAGCTAACTTCTCACTCCCCGGGAATCCAAGCCCGAGAGCGCAGACGCCGAGTTGCATGACGATAGGTCGCTTGGATTTATAAGGAGCTGCCTGACCCTTGCAGAGAGCTCCTGGCCCGGGTGCTAGGACGACTCCTCTGGGCACAGTGCTGCTCTGGAAGCCAAACTGAGGCACTGCCAGGTGCTGCGGGGCTTAGGCTGATGGAGTCCAGGGCTTCACTGCTTCACCGCCAGGCTACACGAGCACCTTCACCAGCTCGGACACACCTCTGAATCGGTCCGCTGGTGCTGAAGCAGCTGCTGCCCTTGCCTTTCTAAGGGACTTAGGCGTGGTCCTTTTGGACGGGGACCCAAGACCATGGAGGGCATCACCCTGGCACTGAGTGGGTTTCGAGCAGTGCTAGCAATGGGGCCTGAGTCCAGCAGGCTGGAGTCAGGCTGCACTTCGCAGCTGGGACAGTCCCCACCCTGACTGCCGGCTGAAGGGTTTCACAGAGAATGGGGTCGCCCCGTCCTCTCTGAGCCCTGCGCTGGGAGTCCAGGCAGCTCCCTTTCTGGGACCGCCTCTGCGGGCTCCCCAGGCATTGTGTTCCGGGACAAAGGCACCACGTCTGTCCCAGTCACGGAGCAGGAGCCCCCACCTGTGGCACGGTCCCCTGTGGCCCGGTCCCCTGGGGCCCCTTCCCTGGAATGGTGCAAGGAGCTAGCGAGTCACTGGATGCTGCAGCTGCTCTGGTTCCCCTCCAGATAGGGCCCTTGCCCTGCGCCTCCGCCTCCTTCTCACCGGCTGCACCTGCTGCTGGGTTGCATTCGCACACACAGCCCGGGTGTGTTCCACAACTCCCACCCGCCTCTGCCCTGAGCAGGGCCTCCCAGCTGGCACACTGCACCTCCAGACTCCAGGACCCTGGGGCTAGCCAAAGGCCAAACCAAAGAAAGGGAGACCAAAGCAAACAGAAGAATTCCCCTGCCTCCCCAGGAGCGCACACAAAAGAGCTGCCGCTGGGAAGAGGAAAGCCCCTCATTGTTCTCCCTCCTGGCTGTGATGACAATCCCAGCCCAGGGTGCAGCCCCCTCCCCTGCAGCCTGCACCCTCCTCTTTCCCACCTTGGGCCCCTGAGAAAGACTCCGAGAGGCAGATGTCCCGGCCCAGGAGTGGTTCCCACACGGGGAGGAAGTGAGGACTCACAAAGGACCGGACTTTTCCCTGAGGAAGCGGCAGGCTTTGCAGTGACAGACTGCCCGAGGATGAGGGACAGGGCGGACGGGGCCCAGGGGACAGCCCTGGAGAGGAGCTGCCTCTCCGGAGGAAAGCGGGCCATTGTGAGCACTTGTTTACAGGCCCATGGCCCTGACCCCGCCGCTTGTCAACAGGCTGGGCGCCCCTCCTCCCCGGCCCCTGCATTGTTGTGGTCCATTCATAATTTTTTTCGGGGGTGGTTGTTGTTTGGCACCCAGGCCTGCCCCCAACTGGCTCACTGTCAGCATTGTAACCCAGAGAAAATGGCAAGATATCCTTCCCCACTCCCTGGAGCCAAGCCCGAGGCTGGTGCATTAACTCTTAGAAGATCAAGGGGGAAGTGGGGCTCCCCTCCGCTGCAGGCCGGCAGCCTGAGACTCGGCTCCATCTTCCCGGAATTGCTTGGGACAGAAGCCTAGGGTTCCAGGAGGGGTGGCAGGGAGCATCTGGAGGTCACTGGCTTAGATGCTGTGAGGGCTGACTGCTGGGGTCCAGGGAGGGAAGTAAGGGCAGGAGGAAGGGTGTCAGGCTGGGGCCGTCCTCCGAAAGGCTGAGTGGCCACCAGGACTACCACACACTTCCAAGGGAATGTGGGTGCCCAGAGCCAGGGCACAGGGCTGGTGGCGAGGGATGGCCTGGGAGTCGCATGGAAGCACAGCCGTGGCGTGGACCTGGAGGCCCAGCCTGGAGAAGACTGGAGCCGTCTGCTAGCAGGGGTGGCTGATTCCAAGGAACTCTGGGCCGGGGCCGGGACCAGGAGCAGGGCGGAAGCCTCTGGAGGCCTTGGCCCTGTCCGTGCTCCCAGTGTGGGAGGCTGACTTGCACCCCAGGAGAGCAATGAGCTCCCATCTCAGAAGGGGCCACGGAGACCCCCCATCCCAGCCTGGATGCTGAGCCCCCCGCAGGCAGCCCTGGGAAAGACGGGCCGAGGAGCCAGGACTCGGGACCCCGGAGCAGGCCCTGCCGCGTCTGTGCTCGCCCAGAACCCCTGCCCTGCCCTGGCAGCCCCATCAAGCTGCTGTGAAGTTGTGAAGTTGCAGGGGCTTATGGCGCCCCGCGGTCGGCTCGCTCTCCCACTCACTGCCCTCCTCACTGCCAGCCCCACTGCCTCCTCTGCCTCTCCTTGCACCCCGGCTCCTGCTCAGGCGCCCGGGGCTCCCTACAGCTTCTGGCCCTGTCGCCCTCTCTGAAAGCCCCTTCTCTCCCTGCCTTCTCCTCCCACCCGCACCCCCGAGTCCACCTGGCCTGCCTGTCGCAGCACACCGGCCCTGGAGCGTACCTCTCCCAGATCCAGAAGCCCCAGACCCCCATCGTGTGCCTGTGGCCTCTACAGCAGCCACAGTGCCCCTAAAGCGTCTGCAGAAGACTCGGCCTCACCGCCACCCTGCTCTGGGGCTGCGATGGGTAGGAGGAGGGTCATCCTCCATGCCACCCTTGCAGCCGGCTTGAGCCACCACAGCAGGAGCCACCGAGCAGGCAGCTGCGACGGCACAAACCTGCTTCTGCACAGTGAAAGATGAAGTCACTGAGACCGGTCCCTTCCAAGCCCTCTCTGCTAGGCTGGTAGGCACCGTCTTCTCCCTATGTCCCCACGTGGTCCCCCGTGTGCCTCTGCACCCCAATCTCTTGAGGGACACTGGTCACTTGGGATGAGGCCGCACCAACAACCTGGCTCACCTTCATTCCCTCTTTAAAGGCTCCATCTGCAAAGATGTCACCCCGAGGTGCCGGGTTAGGACTCCAACGCATGCATCTTCAGGGCACCATGTGGTCCTTGGCAGCGGATTTGAGGTGCTCTTCCTCTCAGATCATCTCCAGCAACTCTGCGCTTCCAGGAATGGTGAATGGCCAGGAGGGTGGAGCAGCCGGTGGAGAAAAGGGATGGTGGGGTCTGAGCCTGCAGAGGGGTGCAGCTGAGCCTGGAGCCCCAGTCACGCTGCCCCACGCTGGACGTCTGTACGCGGCACAGCACAGCCCTGTGCACATGGGGTGGCCTGAAGCCATCTGTGGCCATGCATGGACTTCTGGTCATGGCCTCTGTCAAGCCTGGGTACAAGGACAAAGACGTGTGCTGCTGACAGAGATGAGCTGCACAGAGGTTGGGTCCGCTCTAGGGGACAGACGGTGCATCGGAAGAGAGGCCCCACTCCTTTCTGGGCAGGGAAGGTGTCATCAAGGGCAGGATAAAGCCTTCTCGTGAGGCGGAGCCTCCTGACCCAGGGCTGCTTGCCATGTGTGCATGCACATGTGAGTGGGGCGTGGGTGTGTGTCTATGTGTGCACACATGTGCTGGCATGCACGCCATGTGTCTGCATATGCATGTGTGGGCGCCATGGGCACTGCAAGTGCTGAGTGCCGGGATGCTAGGGCGAGGGGAGGGGGCTCAGCAGCTCAGGGAGGCTGTGATTCCTGCCACAGCACACAGCTGCAGCACTTCAGTCACCAGAGCCACCCAGAGAGGCAGGGCTCCTGTCTCTCCCCAGCCCATGCCTGCTCCGAGGGCTTCCTTCTGGCTCAGGGCCTTGTTTCCAGCAACCCCTGCTTTGTGGTGATGAGGACTGTCAGGATTCAAGAGAGCAGGACTCTTCTGAAACAGCGTGACACACGTCATCCTAGGAAGCCCCAGCACCCAGCGCCGAGGTGCACCCAGGACCTTGGTGTGATTGGCATCGAGGCACTGAGGCCAGCAGGGTGCTGTCGGCGATGCTGTGGACTTGGCTGGGAGCCCAGGCTTGGATCCTGGCTGGGCCATGTTGCAAGGTAAGACCTTGAGCAGAAGACGTGAGCCTCTCCACAGCCCTGCGTGCTCAGGGGTGACATGGGGACAGCTGTCTGATGAGGGACTTCTGGGGTGGTTGGGGTGGAGCAGGCAGGTCCTCCCCTGCCCTCAGCCAGGGCAAGTGGACAGGCTGGGGTGGGATGAGGAGCGTGTCCTGCCTCCACGGTCGGTGTCCTCCTCAAGCCGAGCTATAATCCCACCCATGGGCCCTGAGACTAACAGGAACTTGGGATCCCCGCACCTATTCTTCCCTGTTTCTTACTTCCAGGGCCTCCCCACCTAGCAAAACTCCAAATCAGAGCCGAGAAGGCAGAGAAGATAACCTGTCCCCTTTCCAGAGCCCATGGTGGGCCGAGGGTCCACTGCCTCACAGACCTCCTCCCGGGGTCTGCGGTGACCCAGCCCCACACCCCACCACTCTCTGGCAGCCCTGGGGCTCAGAGCTTCCCAAAGCATTCTCCTCTCTTGGACTCCGTGGCACTGAGTCAGCATCTCCATCCCCCAGCAAGGCAAGGAAAAGGTGGCAGGAAAGACCTCATCTACCGCGGGACTGTCTCAACCCAGGAGAGACGTGCTCCTCCGAGCAAGCCTGTTCCCCGAGTTTGGGACAGGCTCATGGCAGAGCCTTTCCGTGAGGACTTCAAACCGGGTCCTCTGGGCTTCTTCTCCTCTCGGCCTGATCCTCAGCTTCTGTCTGACCCTGATCCTTCATTCGGAGTCCTGCAAAGTCAGTCTGGAGCCCGTCTCGCAGTCCTGACAGCTGCTCCCCCTCAGTAGATGGTCACTCGACCCCAGAAAACCTCTGCTCTCCCACGTGCCTGCAGCAGGCGTCCTCTCCCCTGGTCAAGTCAAATCCTTGTTCCCGTGGCTCCTCTCAGTTTCCACGTCAGCACTGGTCCTGGCTCTAAGCGCCCCAGTTCTTGCCGTCTGAGTTGAGTCCCCCTCTCCTCCCTGTTGTGGTCATCTTGACCCCTGTGGGGAGGCTCCAGTGTGGTCTTCCTTGCCGTTTTAACAAGTGTCAGAATAATTGTTTCTCTTATAAGCAATGTGATCAAACAAAACCCAGTGAATCTCTGCCCTGTTGGGGTACTGTTGCCTACCAAGTTGGCTTCTGAGCTGTACCAGCTGCCAGGAGAGCCACCGTGAAGGTCCCCAGCCATACTGAGTCATGGCAGGTGGCTACTATGGCCAAGAGGCTCCCAAAGCCAGATGCATCTCAGGGAGGGCCTGCCCGGGACACGGCCTGAGCTCCTGGCCCCCTCAGTCCTCATGCAAGCTGGCCGAGGCTCTTTCTGGCAGCTCTGGTCCCTGCATCTCTGTCGGCCGCAGGTGGAGAGAAACCATGCCCGGAGGGCTGGCGGTGCCCACACAAAGGAGGCTCCTCTCCACGTGCCACGTGGACCACGAGATGTGACTCCAGGACACTGGGAACCGAGGGAGCCTACAGGTCTGGCCCTCTTCTTCCCCTGCCCACGGGACTGAGCCACTGGGCTAAATCTCTCACCTCCCACCAACCCACAAAGTGCGAGCTGAGGGGAGCTCCCTTCCCAACGGGGGGATCCCAGAGGTCGTGGCCAAAGGAGCCAGAAAGGACAGCGCAGTTGTTTTCACTGTTACTTCTTGAGGTTGAGAGAAAACCGTCTTCTACAGGTTTCATGGTGGGAGGAGGAAAAAATAAGCTGCAACCTGGTGGGGGATTTTAAAAATAAGTCTTGGGCCGATGTGTTTAATGCCCACCCCATGGGGCTCCTTGGCCCATAACTCGGGAGCACAATGGCTTTTCTTGTTATGAATGAGTGTGAAGTGCCAGCAGAGGAAATAGGAAGCCCCCAATGTAGGCTGAATGGACCTGTGAACAGGGATAATAAAAGTTGTCCTGGATTTCCGTTACCACCAGGTGTTTCCGCCGGGACTTCCATTCATTCAGGCCCAGGGGCGGCCAGTGCTGCCAGATCTCCCTGCCGACCCCTGGGCCGTGCCCCGACCTCCCCACAGCCATGACCCATGTGGACCTGGGACCCTGGGGTCTGGGATGGATGTGTCCTGATCCTGGCGGGCCCAACTCTTAAATCCGTCCAGAGCAGAGGAGAAGGCAGGGCCCGTGAGCAGGTCCTGTGGTCACAGCTCCCCTTGAAGGTCGGTTTCCACTGGGGGCTCAGGAGAGACACTCAGGTACACCCAGAGACAGGTGGCTGCAAGCAGTGGTGACACAGGCGCCAGCCAGGTCCCCAGCAGCAGGGAGGTTGGGGTTGGAAACTGACAAGGGCCGTGCATTCTCCAGGAGGCTGGGACACACCCTCCGAGGAGCCCCTCCAAGGACCTAGAGCATGTCTCTTCCATCACTGCCCCTAGCCCTTAGCTCCCAGGTGAGCACATCCAGTGCTACCTGCCATGATCTGAAACCAGCTTGTATACCCAGGGAGCTACTCCAACCAAAGAGCACAGGAGGCTTCTGTCCCAAAAGCCCACATGAACCGGGACGGATGCCTGGAGGAGCCAGATGCAGGGCAGGGGTGGGGATTGGAGGGGACAGGTCTGCCCGCTGCCTACAGTGTTCGTGTCAGTGTATTGCATCATGGTGTGGGCCACAGAATACACACTGCCCACTGCCCACTGACAGCCTTCTCCTTATCGGATGCTGGGGGAGCTGCTGGGATGAGAGGTCGAGGCTGGCTTCATCACCCTAACCGAGCAGATTCTTAGGCAAGGCACATAGTCCCAGCCGGAAGAGCCTTGCCCTCCTGAAATGGGAGGAGGCCTTTGCTCAAGGTGGAAATATGTTACAGACTCCTGGGCTCTCTACGTTGGAGACGGTTCCCCATTTGACTAGCTGAGCAGACAGGAGATCCCAGGCCAGCGGTGCCTTGACCTAGTCCAGAGGATGCGTCACACCTCCCAGGCTAGAGGGCTCTCCACCCCAAGAGCCTGTCTGGCCTATCCCATGCCACACACCAGGGAGCCTGCCTTGTCTGCACAGGTATCTGACCTCACAGTCACTGGGACATCACAGGGCCCTGTCTGCTGTCACAGCATTGCTGGGAGCTGGGAGCCCCAAGCCCCACCACTTGCAAGCCCAGCCTTCTGGCCCTGCCTTGAGGAGACAGTGTGGAGCTCCGCAGTCCACGTGACCTATGAACATCCAAGCCGCAGAGCAGTCCTCTCGCTGGAGTTGCTCAGGGTGCAGCGTCCAGTGCAGCCCTGTTCAGAGCTGCATCTCCTTAGTCCCCCAGGGCCTAGAGTTACCCATACGACATCAGAGACAACTGCATCTTCGTGTCCCCCAAGGTCCTGAAGGTAACGACGGTAACAAAGAGGAGGATGAAAACAGACACAGCCCTTGAGTGTGGGGCTGTGTATTTTCCTGTGTCTTATTTTTGGTCTGGTGACTGAGGCTGAAAGAGGGCAGAGAGCTCTGTAACCCCCAGGATTACAGAGGCCCGCGGGCTGCCAGAAGAGTCCTAACCAATAAGTGGTACAGACCCTCCTTAGTCCTCATGGCCAGGAAGCCGGGTCTGCAGGAAGCTGTCTGCCACCAACGCACGGCCGGAAGTGCAGAGCCACTGGGGACATCCGCCGGGGTCTGCAGCACTGCCAAGCAGAGGAGGGAGATGTCCGTGCCAGGGTGGAGGCAGCCGCACCGTGGACAAAGGCTTCTGCCCAGCTCCCAGGAGGGCGGAGAGAGGGACAGACTGGAGAGGGACTGGCCCACACCGTACCCCCACTAATATGCCCAGAACGCAGGTTGTCACCCCTCAAAGTGGGCTGCTCATTTGCTGACCGACTTGTTGCTGCTTCTCACTAGAAAGCTCCCCAGAATGCCTTGTCCTCTCTGAAGGAGGTTCTCACTCACTCCCTGCGAAGCCTCAGGCAAGTGATTCTCACTGACCCCAGGTGTGCGGTTTGCAACATAGGATCACAGGGGAGGTTCCCACAGGGAGCCATCACAGAATGGAAACCCTGGAGGGACAGAAAGGTTTGGGGGACATGGGGAGGAGGGGACAGGCCACAAAGGCCGGCAGCTGGAGCGGGTGGAGAGCAGGTTGGGGGAGCCGGGTCAGGGCACCCCTGCTGCCAGACAGGGTGGGGTTTTCTCATCAGGCAAGAGGGACAGAGGTTTGAAGCCACAAGAAGCCACCTGCCCTGAACCTTTGGCCTGAGTTAGAAACAACCTCATGGAATTGCAGGTCCTGTTGTGGACTCTGAAAGCCTGAGAGCCCACCTTCAGCTCCAGCAAAAGCAGCGTGTGAGGTCGCGTGAGTTGCCCTGCCCCGACACGCCCCTCTGTGGTCTCTGTGGCTCAGGGGTGAACGCGGCCGGCTGGGTTGTGTTTCCCATCATTCTCTCCACATTGTCCCTGAGGAAGAAATCAGGGACTGGCAGACAAAGTCACTGAAAAGCTCTGCCCCTGAGAGCGGGCAGAGGGCGCTGATGAGGAGCAGCAAGGTGGCATCTCTTGAGTCTGGATAGAAGCAATGCATCTTCTTCTAAGTGGTGTGTGCCAGGGCCAGCTGGACAGCAGTCGTCAGGACAGAGGCTGGAATCTTCCTTGGCCAAAACCCTGAAAGGCCCAAGTCCAAGAATTTGGGGATCAGGTGAGGTGGTGCTGGAAAAAGCTGCAAACCCAGAGCCCAAGCATCAGCTCTCACTCCAGGGTGCGAAGTGAAGCTTTTGTGAGCTTTTGCTACAAAGCCAGTCCAGAGTGAGACAGTGGTGCAGGTGTGGACGTGGGAAGAGCCGCAAGAGCTGTAGCTGACCACAAAGCACAGGCCAGGTGAGGAGCCGGAGTCCTGGCCACGACTCGCCAAGGTCAGCAGGGGCAGGGTCCCGGGCCAGCAGTCCTACAGGGCAAGAGGGAAGGGGACGCTCTGTCCCAGGCAGGCGCTGCTTCTCCGTCTTCCAAGCCGTGGAGCCGATGTTCCGAGGACAAGGTGGAAGCCAGCGTGTGGCAAGTCGGCAGTTTGTGGAGCCAGCAGCCTCCTGCCCTCTGCCTCCTTGGCGAGGCCACATCATCATCACCCTGTGTGTCTCCACCCGGAAGCCATGGGCCACAGCAGGCCAGGGCAAACTCACCTCCTTTGAGAATCGGGGACGAGATCTGTTTCCACCAAGAACTTGGGAGCAACACAGGTTTCAGTCTGAGCAATAGCAGTTGAACAGTTTCTGTTTTCGGTTTTTGTGGTACTGAGGGTGAACTATATATAATAAACTTTATATACTTCCCACTGAGCTATACCCACAGCTCTTTTTTATTTTGAGACAAGGTCTTGTGAAGTTACTACGTTGCTCGGGCTAGGCTTGAACTTGTGATCTTCCTGTGTCAGACTCCCAGAGGGCTAGTATGAAAGCCATGCAGACCACACCTGGCTGGAACACTGGTATTTAATGTGAGTTTGGAAGTTGCCAGCCATAGTGAAAACAGGCAAAGTCATTGCTGTCCCTCCTGCCACTGAGTTCTGAGCAGTGTTTCAGCAGGGATTGTGGATTTGAAGTTTGGGCAGATGTTGTGGGGTGGTTAGTAGACTCTGGGTTGGGGCTAACTGCCAAGCCCCAGGCACGCGTGATTGTCCCATATGATCATGGGACACTGTGAATGCAGGCAGTGGCCAAGGTCATGTAGAATGGAAAGTGCTTTATAAACTGTAGAGTGCTCTAGACATGGGAAGTGCTCTGGTTTGGGGTTCTAGGATGGATGCTCTTGGCCTGAAGAACCCCTTGCTCTGGGTGTCATTGCTGGCTGCTGTTTTCCTAGGCAGTGGGGAATGGAGCGGCCAGGCAGCCACTGGCCCGAGGGTGGCCTTGTTGGTGGCAGGGATTGGAGGGGGTCGAAGGTGGACTTGGAAAACCCAGGTTCCCACCTCAGCCCTGCGGGTCACCTGTCCTGCGACTGTAGGCAAACCTCACCCTCCCTCTGAGCCTGAGTTTGTAGGCTGGAATGACCTCTAAATCCTTGCTAACTCTGAAAAGCAAATTCCTGCCCCTCAAAAATACAAATTGGATTGAACCCCTTTGCCTTTAAATTTCAGAACTTAACGCTACAGCAAGCACAAGCTAGTGCTCACATTCTGTCCTCCTGTCCTCTGTCCCGCACAATGGTTCCAAGAGCCCCCACAGCCCCCCTGTCCCTCTGGACTCTGAATGTCCCTTTCATCCCTAACAGTGCCCTGAGCCACCCTCTGACCTACTCAGAAGATGAGGGAGGTCCAGTGGTTGGATGTCCCCAGGCTCCTGTCCACTGGAAGGCTCTCCTGATACCAGACCACACTCCCAGTGAACCCTAATTTAACCAAAATGCCAAATGTTGGGCTCTTCCTTTCAGACAGAGTTTAGCTGCTCAGAGAAAGATGTGGGGGGGCCAGAGAGGCCTCCGAATCTCCAGGCCGGGACACAGGGTGATGGGCCACACTGTCTGGTTAGAAGACTGGGTCATTCTCTGTGACCCGCTGGTACCCACGCCAGGTTAGCCCCATGGACGTGTGTGGAGTGAGCGCCTTGGGGACCAGGGTCCTGCAGTGTGGGCGACAGCAGTCTGAAGGACAGAAAATGCTCACGCTGCGCCCAGCGTGGTAATGATGAAAGGGGTGAGCCTGACGTTCAGACGCTTTACAAAGCACAGCCGTTTCTGCTGCTTCCCTTCGCTGCCATCTCAAAGGGAACAGAGCAGAGGACCGAACATGTTAGTTTGCAGTAGGGAAACTGAATGAGGTGCAAGTCTCAGCCTGGCCGAGCTCACCCCAAGTTATAGGACCTGGGCTCAGTGAGAGCAAAGCCAGCCCAGCCGCTGCACAGGCCTGCAGAGAGTCACCCTGAGACGGAGCTGCTGACTGTCAATAGCATGGGACCCGTGTGTGCACCCTGCGGGCCACCATGCCGGGTGGCAGTGTAGGCCCAGAGCACAGTGAACGGCAACTGTCAGCAGGCGATGGCTTGCGCTGTATTCTGAACTGTTTGGGTCTCTGCCAGCCCTGTCCCCAGCCAATGCCCTCTTGGCCATTGTGTCAATTATGGCTGATGGTTATCTTGCTTGTTTATCCAGTCGCTGTATAGACTGACTTTCTGAATGTCAGGGTCTGACTGTTTCCATAACAGGAAGCCACTGGCTATACTACTGCATGAAGAAACTCCAGCCTACACAATAGAATCCCAACAAAACCTTAAACCCTCATTGAATCCAGCTCTTATTGTTTCATTGATAGGCCGAATCCTGTATTTACAGTCCTGGATTTACAGTTTACAGGCCTGTGTGTGTGTGTGTGCGCACGCGCGCACACACACGTGTAGGTTTGACAAGGCCAACCCTGGCTTTTCACCTTCCTCAGTGAACCTCAGCTTAGACTCGGCCGCCAGCATTCCCCGGACATAGGGGAGGGGTGCAGGCCAGCAGAACCCAGGCCCTGAAGAGCTTCCTCCTGGTCCTCCACGGCTGGCCCTGCAGTCAGAGGAAGCTGAGCTTCTGTTTATCCTGGGCCTCAGTCACAGTAGAACAAATGCTTCGGTCAGCATGGAACCCAGGCGCCACAAGCTCTGCTGAGGAAAGACATCAAAGGGAGCCCTGGGCTCCATCTGTCACTCATGTCTGTTATCTTCCCGGGGCCGGGGGGGTGTCCCATGGCTGGGGAGTTTTCAAGAAGCTCTCTGGGAACCTGTTAAATAGCCTCCATTCCTTTTCAACTTTATCTGCTTCTCCCCTCCCAAACTTGGAGAAGAAAATCAACCCACACGGTGCTAAAGGAGTCTGACCTCCATGGAAAGCTGTCTATTCCCGAACAGACTTGGAGCAGCAAATGAGGTATCAGAGCTGCCCAGGGCATCACCCAAGTCGTGAAGGCTGAAGGCTGAGGGTGGTCCTGTGCAGGCAGCCCCCTGGGACAAAGTCTGCACGGAAAATGAGCTTGATCCCCTGGGCGTGGTCCTCCTGTCACTCTGAAGCCTGCCACAGACTTGTCACTCTGAAGATGTCACAAACACAGTGAGGGCAGGCACTATTGCCTGATGAAGCCCTTCAAGACAGTCAAATGCCTGGCCAGCACACCCGTAGTGGTCAGGTGGCTGTGTATAATGTAGAGGGCTTTCCTTTTGTCCTTCACTCTCACTCTGGGAAGGACTAGATTCTCACTGACTTCACACGTGAATGGAGATGGCAGGGCCAGTGGTAGGGGCCCCGGTTGCAAGGGCACCTGGCATCAGAGCTCTCTTGGGACCCTTTCTCCTCTTCACAGGGAGGCAACTGGTCTACCCTAAGAGTCTGGCAGAAGCCTGGGAGAGAAGGAAGCAGGGTAGCTGATCTCAGAGGGAGCCGGAAGATAATTTGGACATCACTTTGCAGGTGAGAGCCGAGAGGGTGCAAAGGTCAGGCAAAGCACTTAAGGTCAAACGAGTCCACAGTGAGGGCCAGCCGGAAAGCCAAGGGCCGAAGGAGCTCTGTCTCACTCCGTGGAGGCTGAGTTCTCCTAGACTGCGATGTATGTGGTAGCCTCCACACGGCTTCAGGAGAAGATTCAGGTTTCCTGGGGAGATGTTTTGACTTACACCACTCACAGGAGTCAATGATCTTGACCTCTCTTAATCACATAATGTTGGAGGCCCTGGAGGGATGAATGTGCTGAACTTTTGATTCTCCCACTAAGCCCTGTACTGCAAAGGCTTCTGTTCCCCTTGCCAAACCTGCCCTGGTGATATAAGGACACAGCCATTCCCTGGATCTAAACAGGGAGGAAAATGGTTTTGTTTTATTTTTTAATTATCCAGCAAACTTGACTGTCTGGCAGTATCTTTGCTGATAAAATCCTAAGGGATGTGTAAAACCTCAACCTATGCCAGAATCTAAACACAGTTACCCCTCAGTGTCCACGAGGCATTGGCCAGGATCCCACATGGATACTAAAATCCACAGATCCCCGAGTCCCTTTTAGGAAAAGCTGTAGCCTTTGTGTACAGCCTATGCACACTGCCCTGTAGGCTTTAGTCATCTCTAGAATACTTACACAATGTAGGTAATGCTGTGTGAACAGTCATCATACTGGATTAATAGGGAAATGTCTCTACATGTTCAGTTCAGTGGCATGCATCACAGGCCTGTCTAGGACCTGCAAATGGTTGAATCCCCAGATACTGAGCCCAAGGTGTGGAAGGCTGACTGTGTGTTGTGGGGCTGCAAGCCTGTCCTGTGACTGAAGATGCATAGTGTCACACTATGGTTTCCACCTTTTCCACTTCCCTTTGAGGGTCCCCTGTGTAGACCAAGGCCCCACAAGAAGCTACTACCTGTGGGCTGCAGTGCACCCTGTCTAGCAGCAGAGGGCACTGCTTACCTAAAATCCAAGCATGAACCTAGGCCTGGAGAAAGAAAGACTTCTCAGGGTGGAGAGTACTCATCGCCTGGTTCTCCAGCCTTGGAAGAGCCTAACAGAGAAGGCTGTGGGCTCCCAAGAGCGCCCTGCCCTAGCCAGAGAGGGCCCTGCCTCAGCACTCCCCCGTCGAGAAACCCTCGCACCAACACGACCCATTGTCTTCTACTTCCTCCTTTCTGTTCCACCAACTTTGAACCTCACTTCACATCCCAGCAGACCAGATTGCTTCCCCAAGATGCCTTCCCTCTATTATTCTTGTTTACCGGGCATTTGCTGCCATGGTAACATCTCTGGGTGGAGGACAGGGCAGGGTGGGGACAGGACAAATCAGACCTTCTTTGAACATAAACAGTTTAAACGTAACATTATCGGAGAGCGCAGAGTGAGATAGACCATTAACAGTGTTTGGTTCTTTATTGGGTTTATAAGTAATGCAGGAATCAGAATCACCCTTACCAGGCCCCCCTTCTTAGAAAAGTGTCCCACTCTGATATCTTTAGTGTCTTTCTCCTAGCCGGGTTTTGTGGATAACATCAACGATATTTGTCTTGGGAATTGGCCTCGATGTATGGTGTCAGTTAAGTCTGGGGCCACTCCGTGCTAGGCAAAGCACCCTATCGAGCAACGTGCTCACAGGAGGCATGTGTTTGAGAAACCTGCTGAAGTGAGAGACCGTAATCACAACTGGGTTGAGACTGTTGCTTGTTTGCAACCCAGCTTCTGAGTCACTCTTGCCCTGTTGCTAAGTGGCACAGGCAGAGCCAAGGCCATTTTTAGATCTGGCTGTGGGAATCCTGAGTTAAGACTGATTTAGCTGGGTTCAACAGCGTGTGTGCATTTCATCGCTTCCATGGAAGTTAAATTTTGCTAACCACCCCAGGGCAGCCACAGCTCACAAAGCTCCCTGAGGTCGGAGGATGATGGTGCCTCCCCGGGAATGTGCTGAGGTCCCCAGCAGTGGGACTAGGTTACCAACTGGGTGAGAAATAAGATCCAAAGTGTACAAAGCCAGGAGCCTATCTGGACGATAAGTCTGGCTTCTGGTGATATTTGCGAAGTTCCCAGCCTTTCACAGTGCACTATTTGTACAAAGCTATGAGACAGTGAAAAGACCAGGGGTTTCTGGGAGTGGGGGACAGGTAGGGACACAGGGCATCCCTAGGGTAGGGAGACTCCTCTGGGGTACTGTGGGGGTGGACACAGGTCCGTGGACATTGGTCTAAACCCATAGAGTGTGCAAAGCCAAGAGCGGCACCAGCGTGAAGAGTGAACCGATGTATCAGTGTGGACCCCTCAGTGACACAGAGACACGGCTCTGGTGGGCGTGTGGACAGTGGGTGGTTGTGCATGGGGGGGGCAGAGAGCACGTGAGAAGCCTCTGTACTTTCAGCTCCATTTTGCTTAAAGACCACCTAAAATATGCTACTGTATTTGTACAGTTTGTTTACTCCAAGTGAATATTAGCTTTTGAGCCCAATGATGCATTCACGTCATTGAATTCAGTTTATTTAAGGCATCTCCAGTTGATTGAGACCCCATCAGCCTGTTGGTGTATTTATACCCTTGTGGTTGTATTTGTTCACACTTACAATCAAGGCTGTTTTACATTTGGCTTATAAATATCCTGATGGTGGCGTATTTCATACATGGACAGGAATCCACGGGCCCCTGTCCTTATGCTCCAGTGACTTATTTGGAGGGATGGTATTTGTGCCAGGAACGCAAATAGGAGCCTGCTGAGCAGTGCAGACAATTCCGTGCTAAGGGGACTGGTGGTCTGGAGGTGTCCTGAGTGGCAGCAAAGTGACTGACAGGAGCGGATAGTTCTCCACACACAGCCAGGGGCTGTGGAGTCTTGTTCACGGTACAGTGCACGAGATAATAACTTCCTGCCTGGTGACAGGAGGTCTTCCACACCCGCGGGGTCACCCTGGCCTGGGGACCTGCCT